TTATGTTATGCTATGCTATGCTATGTTATGCTATGTATGTTATGTTATATTATGTTATGACTCCTGCAAATATCTTCTCTCGTATTCCATGTTGTCTGCAAATACCCAGGGTAATCTCCCAGCACTCACTTAGCAAGGCCTTAGAGCTCAGTTCAAGGAACTCCAGCTGAAGAAAGAGAGGGGTAAGAGGATTCAGAGATCAAAGGATATTAATTAATATCATTCAGAGAAAAAAAGACTAAGATTGAAACTATCTTCAGATAACCTAAGAAGTGCCTACAAAGAGTGAGGAAATGTTTTCCCTGACCATTGTGGGCAAACATTGATTACAAAACACTTCTGGTGGAGAAGGTAATTCCTCTGAGGCAGATTGCTTGTGAGTTCAGAGGATTTGAATAACAGATTAAAAACACTTTGTCCAGGAATGTTTTGTCCAAGCTGATCCTTCCAAGACTTGTGCTGCAAGACAGATGCATATAACATCTGGATTTTCACCTGTAGGGCTCTGCACATGGGAGGTAGTAGTTCCTCCCATGGATACCAGAGCAGACAAGATTCAGTGAGAGAAAGTCACTTCCACTTATACTTGGATAAAATGTTTAAGAAAAACAGACTGATGAGGACTTCTTGTCTGATCTGAAGTACTGGCTGCAGGAGTATGAGTTCAGTGAGACCTAAGGTTTCTGTTAGGAGGTGGATGATAGAGTAGGAGTGGGCAGCCCCCAAGGCCATTTGGCTGTGGCAAAGGGCAGGACCAGCCTACCTACCTGCTCCCTGATACCAACTGGTTGTTCCCAGGTAGGACAGGTGTGTGAATCAGGAATCCCAAAGCACTCTGGAGACACCTTAGTTCTTGATTTGATTTGGCAGCTTTTAGGGATGAGAAGGAACCTATAGGAGCACTAGGTAGGAAGAAGATATAGGGAAGGTTAGGGATTCATTGAGTGCTTTGCATTTCCATCTTGTCTGCTTATTTATTGTAATAATGGTCCAAGAGCTGCTAAATATGGGACAGGTTCTCAGGTTTTTTTCTGTAGTAGTTTCAGACCACTTTGTAAGCTTCCCTGTCTTTGTTCATTTGTTTGTGTGCTGTCATTGCACAGAAGGTAAAAGCTGGCTTGATTTTTAGTATACTATTCCACTGCAAGATTTTATTGACTTTGTATTGAGCTGCTACACCTAGAAAATAACTGCCATACCATGGGAAGCAATCAAAAAAAAAAAATCCATCTGCTTTTCCATTCTGTTTCTGGAATTTACCCTCTAAAAACTGACTATGCAGGCCCTGAAGATCATGTTACTCTAAGCAAAGCTGGAATAGGCTACTTATTGTTCTAGGCCACTGGTATTCCCCTTTCTCAGACATTGCCTGCAGAAATAACGAGCAGCTTAAACAGGGCTCCGTTTTCGAAACTGTCAACAACTTGAGTTCCCCATTTAAAGGCTCTGGCACTGGGGCACCCTGAAGCCAGGCAATGTTAGCAGGAAAACAGAGTTAATAAAGAACAAGGAAAGCCTGTGGGAAGGGGAGAGGCCTCTTCCGCAGGGTGAAGTGCAGCAGTGTTGTATAAGACTGAGATCCAGGGCTCTGCCAAGCTCCACAGGCAGCAAGATACTGATTTGTGGCTTTGACTATGAGAGAGAGGGTCTCATGCCCACACTTCCCATTGTGCCATGGGGGCAACAGTTGGCTCAAAGCCCATATCTGTTGGTGCAAACCTTCCTTCCTTCTCTGGCACAACACTGGAGGGAGGAGGAGTCTGATTATATAATCCCAGAATGGTTTGGGTTGGAAGGGACCTTAGAGATCATCTAGTTCCAACCCCTCTGCATGGGCAGGGACACCTCTCACTAGATCAGGTTGGTCAAACCCCCATTCAATTTGGCCTTGAACATTTCCAGGGATGAGGCAGCCATAACTCCTCTGGGCAACCTGTTCCAGCACCTCCCCACCTTCCCAGTAAAGAATTTCTTCCTAATATCTAATATAAACCTGCCCTCTTCTAGTTTAAATGGTTAGTCCTCGTTCTATCACAACAGGCCCTGGGTAACAAATCTCTCTCCAACTTTACAATTCCTCTAAGTGTTGAAAGGCCACAATAAATGGGATGCATTAGGAAGAGCATTGCCAGCAGGTTGAAGGAAGTGATCCTACCCCTCTATTCAGCCCTGCTGATGCCACATCTGGATTACTGTGTCCAGTTCTGGGCTCCTCAGTACAAGAGAGACATGGAGCTCCTGGAGTGGGTCCAGCCAAGAGCTACAAAGTTGATCAAAGGACTGGAGCATCTCTCTTATGAGGAAAGGCTGAGGGAGCTGGGCCTGTTCAGTCTTGAGAAGAGACAACTGATAGGGGACATCATCAATGTCTCTAAGTATCTGAAGGGAAGGTGTCAAGAAAATGGAACCAGGCTCTTCTTGGTGGCCACAGGAAATAGGACGAGTCAATGGGCAGAAACTGATGCATAGGAAGTTCCTCCTAAATATGAGGAAGAATTTCTTTACTGAGTGGGTGACCAACCACGCACTGGAACTGATTGACCAGAGAGGGTGGGGGGTTTCCCTCACTGGAAATTTCCAAGAACTGTCTGGACACAATCCTGTGCCATGTGCTCTGGGATGACCTTGCCTGAGCAGGAATGTTGGGCCAGATGACCCACTGTGGTTCCTTCCAGCCTGACCCATTCTGTGATTCTGTGAACAAGGTCTCTCCAAGAGCCTTCTCTTCTGAACAGCCCTGACTCTCTCATTCTTTCCCTCATAGCAGGGATGCTACAGGCATTTCATCCTTATTAAAAGGTGGCCCCCTCCAAAGTCCTCACAACATCAGCTCCACAGGATTTCCAACCACCGGTGACTCCCCATACCACCCAAAACAACTCCGGCAATATTGATGCTCTGCAGGAGGGATGCTCTATCCCCTCTACCCCCCAACCACCACCTCTGCAGCCTCCTAAATTTTGTCCAGCCTTTACTTCTGGTTAGTAAGGCAGTTGCTGCTGAAAAAGAAGTGACAGGTTGTAGGCTGGAGGGGAGGGAAGGGGTCAGAAATGCAGAAGGGGCGCGCAGCGCTGGACCGCCCCCATTCCCTGCAGCCGCAGCCCCGTCCCGCCCTTTGGCCGGAGCGGCCCCCGCGCGGCCACCAGTGGATGGGGGCGGCGGGGGGGGAGTTGTCCCATCGCTCCCGCCCCCGTTGGCGGGGCCCGGCCCCTCTCGGGCGGGGGTGGCGGACGGTAGAAAGGGCGGGCGGCGGGCGGGCGGAGCCAGAGCGCGGAGTGGCGGCGCGCACGGCTGGACCCCGCCGGGACACACCGTGCCGGCATGGCTCTGGATTTCCTGGCGGGGTGCGTCGGCGGTGAGTGGCGGCGCGGGAAGGGGGGGCTGCAGGGAAAAAAATTATGGGGAAGGGGGAAAAGAGATGAAAAAGAAAACGAAAGGAGAAGGAGGTGAAGAAAATAAAAATTAGCGCAAAAGGAAAAGGGGAGTATGGTGCGAAAAATAAAAAGGTGGCAAAGGGAGAAAAGGCGGAGAATGGGGGAAAAGCTAATTTTTTTTCTTTAATGCGGAAGAAAGGGAGGCAGGTTGGAGGGGAGGGCTGGGCGCGGCGCTGTTATTTTGGGAGCGGAGGATGGTGCCGGGCGCGGGGGCGATGAGCGCGGCCACCCCGCTGCAGGTGGGGGCCGAGCACGGTCGGGAAAGGTCTTGGGGGATTCCCCTGTGGTTCCCTTGTGGCCGGGGGGGTGCGGGCCGTCCCCTCCGCGACCGCCCCGCAGCACCGGCGTTTGCCCAAAGGACCTGGAAGGAGCGGGGGTGGGAAGAGGGGCCTGGGGTGAGCGCAGGGGCAGCGGTGCGGTCGGGAGCCCTGACCTGGACACACGGACACCCGGGGACCTTTAAGATGGAGAGGAGGAGAGAACGCGTGCGGCGCGTTCTGCGCTTCTCGGTGCATCTGCCGCCGGCCTGCTGTCTGCTATTTTTAGCAGCTGTTAAATTATCTTCAGGAGATTTATTCTCGCTTCTTTTCGGGTATTTGAGCTTGTTGTTCTTCTTGCCAACCTGGCAAAGAGATTTTTGGTTTTTAATTTCTTTTTTTCAGCCTCTCTCTGACTTCATCCTAGTGATCCTTGCCTTGCCGGGGATCCTGCGGGGTCAGGTGTACCAGTGGCCTTTCCATGCAGAACAGAGTGCACAGCTCTGTTTTTCTATCTTGGGCTATCTTGCCGCTGTGCTGGCCTTGAACAACCTGGACTGCACCATCCTGGGGTGGGCACTGTATTGCTGCCACATCTTCCTCGGGAGAGGGAGGGCAGCTATTTTTCTGCAAACGTGGGAAGGTGCATTGAAGCTCTCGTACTTCTCGCTGTTGTCAGTGGTCATTAAGGATTGCTGGGTCACAGAAATACAGAGCTAGAGGATTCATTGCTTCGGCCTGTGTGCAAAATGCCTGCATTCAGATTGGTGTAACTAATAGGCCTGCATGTGACTTCTGTAAAGTCCTTTAATGCTAGAATAAAGCAAAGGTTTTTGGTAATGCTTGGTCCTGCTGCAGGTGCTACTATCACATCTGGAAAGGCTGAGAGCAGGAATGTTCTTCTGCCTTTAGAGAAGCTTACATGTTTTCTGTACCTGCAAAGAGTGACATGTACCTGAAACATTGTGCTTCAGAAGAAACCTGCATTTTCTGCCTGCTGGACTTGCCTTGGGCTGAGGCCAGGAGTCACAGCTGCACATTCCGTATGATGTGGCATGCTCTGTAGTCACACACCTCAACCTCTGCCTGGGGCTCAGAAGCTTGAAGAGAAGCATAAAGGCACCTAGTACTGGCCTGAAGGACTGAATTGTAGATTTCTTATCTTCTGACTTGATAGGATGCTCTTTACCTGGTCTGTCAACAATGCTGTGCACTCTCACCTCAGGCTGGTGGTCCTGCTTGTGCTACTGTAGCCCCAGACCCAGGAAGAAAACTCAGAGTAATAACCGTGGCATTTGTTTTGTTTCAGGTGCTGCTGGAGTGCTGGTAGGACACCCCTTTGACACTGTTAAGGTGGGTTGATTATGAAACATTTTTGCCTTTAAGTAGAAAACTTAAAGTTTCTCCAAGGAGTGGGAGAGGAAAAAAATTCCCCAGACACTGTAGGAGCATAAATCTGTGTGGGAAAGCTTGGAACAAGCCTCCACAACCTGTTTATAGATTTTTCAATCTACGGCTCCTCAGAAATGAAAACCCAGTAACATGACAAACCTTGACCTAAACTGCAAGTTCATCAGTGCAGTAACAATATTGTATTTGGAAATACAATCTTACATTTAACCAAATTTTGTTCTAAGCTTGCTTCTCTGCAGCTGATCAACACTAACTGCTAGAACTGCCTTTCCCTGCATTTGGACCTCAAACATACTTTGATATTAGGTTGAAAGATTGTATTTTGTTGTCCCCTCAAGCTCTGCTACTTACTCCTTAATTTGTAGCACTAGCCAAAGGGTGTAAGTGAGTAAAAATCCAAGTATGAAGCTTGTCTGGGGGCTTTTTCCTCCAAGTATTATTTTTATAACTTTCCAAGTTCAAATTGATTTTCTGATGATCTGTTAATTGTGTGTGTTACACATAATTCAGCTACTTCAAATACAAGATTTGAGATCCTCTGAAGGGTCCTCCAACTAGGGCTCCCAGGAGTCTAAACCCATCCTTCAGAATGGAAGGACAATTTAAGTCACCGTTTGGCAGCCTTGTCCAAAGTCCCCTGCTGGAAGAATAGAAGAAGGGATATCAATATATTCCCTGCTAAATTAATATACCCGATCACTTAACTTCAGCAGACAGCCTGTTGTGCACCATACCTATATTTGGAATACCTTTACCCTGCTGAATTTAGATACGCAAAGGTCGTGGGCTGATGAAAGCCATCACCATGTTCTGTATCCTAGCACATGGTTAATTCAATACAGAATTCCCGAGCTAGTGGTCATTACTTCTCTTTGCAAGCTTGCAGTGCAAGCTGCTCAAATAGTAAAGTCTGTCTTTTTTGTCGTTCAGAACATGGTAAATTTGACTGTTAAGTAATTCAGTTGAATTCTAGTATATATTTTCAGGAATGGCATTATCCAGACTTGCACAATTTTTCTTATGATGGTACAGGGCCAGCTGTCTTTTTCTCTCCCCCCCAACCTGCCAAGTTTCACGTACTTAACTGAAGGTGATGGGTCATTTCACTGAATCCTGCAAAACTGCAAAAATTCTATGCTCAAATTAAAGTTAATTATGTGTAGGATTTTGGGGGATTTTTTTGTGGGTTATTTTTTTTTTTTTGCTTTGTTTTTGTTTTTTGAAGTGGAACAGCTTCTACTGCACAAAACTAAACATTTAACTGTCTGCAAAAACTGTGGCTCCCATGCTAGTTTCAGCAGATGTATTATTGCAAAATAGATGTACTGGCTTTGAAAAAAGCATCTTGCTTTACAATAGAGCAAATAGTTTGTTTCTGGATGACTCTCCATGTTTTCTGAAATCTAGTGTGGTACATGATATTTTCATATCCATTTGAAGGTATTATAAGCAATCTATTTTTTGTTAGAGCAAATACTAATATTTGTGTTATTAGCTGGCACGGTCATCACTGTATGTGGGAAAACTAACCAGCCTTTAAGGGAAAAAACAAACAAACAAAACAAAACATTGCATAACTTGTGTATGTATATGTGTTAAAAATTAACTCTTATTATAGTTCTGCAGTGTTTAAAGGGCTAGCTGGTAGTCAGCTTAGACTGTGCATTTTTAATATAACTGAACAATGGAAAAGCTGCTTAGATAAGCCAGAATTTTACTTCTGTCTTGGCATTTAAGCTCTCTTTTGGTTTTTTTTGGCTGGTGCTCGTGTTTCACAGAGCGGGGAGGGGGATGGTGGGACACACAGGGAGAAAATTAAGCCGGTGAAGTCACCCTGCAAAACCTGCAACTGAGCTGATCTCAGAACTGGCAAATTGCTTTTCCCTGGTTTGTTGATGTAATGTATAAAATTGCTTTTTTGCTTTTAACTGCCTTTACTTTCTGAGCTAGGGGCTGTCTTCATTAACAGCAAAAGTGTTACTTTGTTGTAGATGACAGATAAGCCTCATCACGGGAGAGTTACCTAGTAAGTATAGCCCAGGTGAACACTTCTGTTTCTCTCAGTCTTAATTTATTCCCAAATGTATTAGTTCAAGTAAAGACCTGAAAGACTTACAAAGCTTTTTCCCTTTTTGGTTTTAAACTGATGTGTCCCTCTTCTACAGCTATGGCATGGAGGGAGCGGGGTTTGAATATCCCTTTTTTTTTTTTTTTTTTAATGTAGTTTTATTCTGGACCTTCTTTCTGCTATGCGTTTCTGGCTGTATACAGTTCCACACACAGTACCTCTAAAACTGAATCTCAGGCACACTGTTATTGAGGTCTTACCCACTACATATCTTTGGAGGATGTTTTCATTGCTAAAACACTTCTAAAGTCACTTATTTCCCGCATTATTAAATGCTTGGACTGTTGAGGGGATGTAGTGGTTTGGGGGTTTTTTGTTTAGTCTTCAGTACCTTTATGCAAGTTTAAGTAATGTGAAATTAATGTGTGTTACTATTCAACCTAAAACCTTAGAAATGGTCGTTTCCAATAAGAAGGAAGCAAGAATATAGGCCAATGAATGGAATAGAAGGCTAAACTTTGCACGATTCATTCTTCCTGTAGTTGTAGACACTACAGAGCTTGTTGAATATGGCATTAATATGCATGAAATAAAGTTTATGTGCACTCACTGCCTTACATAGTAGCTTGCTAATGAGGGTACCTCAATGTGACCAGCACTGTGCTCAAGAGAAAGAGACATTTTTCATTCTTAGGCCTGGAGAGTCAGAACTCTCTAAATATTTCATCCTACAACAGGGCTTAATCTGTTAATATTTCACAAATTATTTGGGCAAAAGTGGGAGCTAGACGCCACTAGGAAATTCAACCCATATATAGAATATGACTAATTCTAAACTACTAAACACAAGTGTGTAGAAAAGATGAAGTAAGAAGGTTTCTAAGCTGCAGATCTCCCCGAGCATATCCATGTGGAAGTCCACTAAATTCACAGATGGGGTTTGAAACAATAGTAGTAAATTATAAATGGAGTAAAACCTTCATTTGTGCAATTGTGACAGCTTGTTAAGATTTATGACTTTGTTTGTGAACCTGCTTCTTTAACAGTTTTGACAATCTGCCCATCCCCCAGACATCCCTTTAAATAACAAAGGATTTATTTTCTTTGAATCCTACCATAAGACAGCTTTTAACCCTAAGATGTTGTGAGACCTGCAAGGATCTCAGCCTCCCAGTGTGCTAGCATACACTCATGTGTATACTAAAAAGATACTGAAAACTAATGTTTTGATTTACAAAGCATAAAATATGAGTAAGAATATTTTTAAAAAAATAATTTATTTTTCCTTCCAAGAAAGCTAACATGAATACAACATTCTGAAAAACCACCTCCACAATCCTTTTCTAGACTCACATCTTACAGGTCTTTCATTGTTTTGGTGGTGGTTTTCATTACCTTAGGCAAAAACAGATAAAAAGATCTTAAGTTCAGGAATCTTTCACACAGATACAATAATCTTCTTTTCTTGCTCAGAATAACAGTCTTGAAGGTTTTTTGCCCTGGAGTTGCAGCAGCATTAAATGGTTGATAAGCATCTTTTCTGAAGAACATTGCAGCCCTCCACGCTGGAGATCAAAGACAGATTTATAACTTTATCAATGCAGTGAAACCAATTTATTGAGTTTATTGCAGTGTAGGGCTTTGCATAAGCTAAGTATAATTGACACTTTTTTAACCATACTGAGGGCAAATTAACATGAAAAAACAGAATTGGACTTTTCCATTAAAGGTTTAAAAACATCCAGAAAAGGGCCTGTCTCCTAAGACCACCAGTTACAGCAGCATCTATCTGTCCAGTAGAATGTATTATTTCAGCTTTGGAAAAGTTAATTGATTACTAGCATTAAAAGTTTGAAGCAGCCACACCCTCATCAATTGCTTATATTCAGCAGGTTTAAAAAAAAAAACAGACTAAAATTTAAAAGGACTAGTGGCTTTTTATTCCTTCTCTTACGCAAAGACAAACATCTTAAGAGTCACTGCCCAGCTACCCTCTGAATAAAAAAGAAAATCAGATCTCAATGAATGGCCCAAATCTGGTAACTAGAAATACCATGGGTATTGTTGAAAGTTTCCATTCTTTTAAAACTGTCCTTATTTCACAATTGACTTGCAAATAATTTTTTTTATAAAATTCTATCAGGTTTGTACGAATATTCCTTAGTGTGAACAGAATTATTCCTGGCAGCTAAAGAAAGTCCCTATTGTAACCCATACTGGAAAACTTCTGTTTGAAATTCTAGATAACAATGCACCTTTCCACATACTGGTTTTCTGATATTCACAAGAAGTTAATAATCCTCTTACTTTAATGTTTTCACCCCCCAAATTAATTCAAAACACTTACACAAGATTTTGAAATGATTTTGCCACATATCTAGTGTCCAGCCCGTGTTCTTGCATATCCATTGCAATAGCAAATTTCCACATAGGTACAAGACACTAGTTTTCCCACTAGGCTGCTCCTGATGTACAAATCGGTATCTCACACAACTTTTTTATAGGTTCGTCTACAAGTTCAAAATGTAGAGAAGCCTCTCTACCGTGGGACTTTCCATTGCTTTCAGTCCATCATAAAGCAAGAATCTGTAAGTTTTGCATATTTTTTTAATCTTTGTATATTTTGACTCAAAAGGGTGGGAAAGCTGTTAAAAAAACAAAACAAAACTACAGATGTTGAAGATCAAGAGATAAAGCATACTCTGAACCTCACCTAGGGTAGATATTGTAATCAGAAGTTTGCCAGAAACTTTGTGAAGAGTATTACTAAGTTGGTATTTCGAAGTTAATTTTTTAAATAAAATAATAAGTTATTTAAATAACTAATTTCCTGAGAACCCAAGCAATCAGAGCAATGAGTGAAGAGATTAGTGAGGTGTTGCTGAAGCTTTAAGACCTCAGCTAAAAGGGTGGCTTCAGGCTTTAAGATACTTTAAAAAAAAGTATAAAATTTGCCAGAAAACTTTTCTCTTGATGGACTAAGATTATTTTATGGATATGTTCAACTATATATTTGTACTGCTGAGTTGTTTAGTTGTTTTTGTCCTAGGCAGAGACGAAATTTCTATTACAAAGCGAGGTGGTTCTGATCTTCTGGCCACTGCTAGAAAGTTAGGGCACAATGGAGAGCCAGAAAGGCCACATTCTGCAGTTTCAGAAGGTTATCAACACCACTGTTAAAAAGCGTTTTTCCTTCCTTTTTCCATCAGGCTTTTGGACTCTATAAAGGTATTGGGTCACCAATGATGGGACTTACATTCATTAACGCGCTTGTGTTCGGTGTACAAGGAAACACACTTCGTGCTCTTGGAAAAGACACTCCATTAAACCAGTTCCTTGCAGGGTCAGCAGCAGGGGCTATCCAGTGCATCATCTGCTGTCCCATGGAGTTGGCAAAGACAAGAATGCAGCTTCAAGGAACAGGAGAATACAAACAGAAAACAAAGAACTACAAAAACTCTCTGGATTGTTTGATCAAAATCTATCAGAAGGAGGGGCTGAGGGGAATCAACAGGGGCATGGTCTCTACATTCATAAGAGAAACTCCAAGCTTTGGCTTTTACTTCCTGACCTATGACTGCATGACTAGGTATTTAGGCTGTGAAGCTGAAGACAGTTACGTTATTCCCAAACTGCTGTTTTCTGGAGGAATGTCGGGAATTGTGTCCTGGCTCTCAACCTATCCCATGGATGTGATCAAATCCCGACTTCAGGCCGATGGGGTCGGAGGCGTTACACAATACAAGGGCATTATGGACTGTGTCAGAAAGAGTTACCATGAAGAAGGCTGGAGGGTGTTCACGAGAGGTCTCACTTCCACACTTCTCCGTGCTTTTCCTGTCAATGCAGCTACCTTTGCTACTGTCACTGTGTTCCTAATGTACATGAGGTCAGACGACAACATTCCTGAATGTGAACCAGATCTAGTAATCCATCAGCCTTCCAATTTGCAAACTTAATCTGTTTGTTCTCCTCATCCAAAGCCCAGCTGGTTGGGTTTTGTTGAACATGAACATTTGACCTGCACAAGTAGTGTAGATGTATGCTATCTGTATAAAGAATTCCTAAATGTCAAATTAGGATTTCATCTCACTACTTGTATAAACAGCATCTTGCCTTATTCAGGACTCCATATCTAGTAGTATTCAAGTCAGACGGGGACCTGCCTTTAGAAAGTTATTGTTGTGGCTCCAGAAGAGGATCTGGAGAATGCCATAGTACCAGAAATTGTTTTCTTCCACTCATGCTCTGAATGAATGAGTTGAGTTGAATGCAGAAATTCTGTCATGAAAGAAATACTCATTTTGTTTGTGACAGGAGTTAAGTACACTTAAGGTGAAGTAGGGGGAATAAATTAAATGTTGGAGGCATTTTGCAGGTAACCCTGAACTGTTTAAGACATGGACTAGCATTCAGCTAGTCATGTGTTTTACTTATCCTCTGCTTTTATATGTCAGTGGGTTTAGTAGCAACTTTGTTCATACTGATTTGCAAAAAAAAAAAAAAAAAAAAAAAAAGAGAAAATATTTGTATTTAAGCTACTCCCTTACCTTTCAGCTTTGAATAAATATCTTAAGCACAAAGTTAGCATCTGCACTCAAATGCACTTGTTCCTTTAAATCTCAAGGCTTGTAAGGATTTAGGGAAATTCAAATCTAGTAAGATTGATGTTGTTTGCCTTCACCTCCGTTTCTCCTTTGGTGGGTGCATGGACTGTATTAAGTTAGTTCAGCCCACGTAGACTTTGTTCTCCAAAGTTAATGCAACTTTGCACCACTTCTCCCAACATGCCCCATAGCAGCCAGTGATGTACAGATGTCAAAGTCCTGCTTGTGGTATTGCACAAAATGTTTGTGGGTGCAATGTTAGCTTAGCAGCTCCAAGTACCATAGAAATACATATTTAGAACTAGAGGTTTCATATCTTTTCAGAAAATAGAGGTGTAAGTGTCTGAAATGGTTGCTGTTCAATACACTTGCATTATGAATTGAAACAATACTGATTTTTATGTATTTAGTTACAGTGCTACTGGAAAGAAGACTGGAAAGGGTTTTGGAGAATTTTCTTGTTACATTAATCTGCTGTGATTACTTTTTTTTAGCAGTCTGTTCAAGAAAGCTTGTATTAGTCAAAGAGCTATAAACAGGTATTTAAGATTTGAAAAACAACCTACACATATTTGGCACAAATAGCCAGAAGGAAGGAGTGCATGTGTGTGAGCAATGTTTTAAAAAATATCAAAGTAGTTCAGTAAGTACAACTTGTTACACTTTTGGTTGGGACAAGTGCAATCTGTGTTTAATTTATATGAATTTTCTAAAGAAACCTTATGTCAGAGCATTTTGCACTGTAACAAAATATGCTGGAGAAACCTGTAAAACTGGTATGTCTCTTTATACCTTGGAGGTATGATGGATGTTCTAGTGCCTACTTGCACTGAGATTCAAATTGAATGTTAAATCTATCTACTAAGCTGCATATGCACAACAACTCACAGTAAAGACCATTTACACCTTTGTACAGTAGACTGTAATTATTGTATATAAAATTGAAGAAATAAATTTTTTTAAAATTTTTACTTTGGTTCTCAGGGGTTTTTTATGTTTTGCTCAGATGCTTCTCTGTGTCAAATAGAGCTTTTAAGAGGGTGGGGTTTCTGCTTTTTCCCAGTAGAAACTTGTTCCCATCTGCCTTCCATTCACTACCAGAAAGGGCAGAGTCAATCAGTTCACTGGAGCAAAGAAAGGAAACTGCCTGGCCTCACTTCTTCAAACTGACCTTTCTGCTGCTAAGACAACAGTCCTGCTTTTAAAGCCAAAGATCTGGTGCTATGCTTAAACCCTTCATATTCTGCATTTCTTTGATTTAAGCAGTGCTGATCAGCACCAAGGCTCTACAACTGCTGAAGACAAGTCTTGGGTCTCTGAGGAGTCACGTAGAATCAAGAACTGTTCATATCTGACTCAGAAGAATACTTGGCTCTGTGATGCACAGTTTAGCAAAAAGTTTTGTAGGTTGTAGCTTTTTGTTTTTAGACAGCGCAACTAGCCCAGAAAGACCATCAGTATTTCAAATAAAAAGCCACCCAGGAAAAGCAGGATGATGATGACCTATGAAAAAGACCTCTCCTTGCTGATCATAGAATGGTTTGGGTTGAGATCTTAAAGACCATCTAGTTCCAACCCCTTTGCCATGGGTAAGGACACCTTCCCCTAGACCAGGTTGGTCAAAGCGCCACTCAATTTGTCCTTGAACAAATTGAAAATTGAAAAACTTCTAGGGATAGGGCAGCCGCAACTTCTCTGGGCAACCTGCGCCAGTGCCTCACCACCCTCACAGTCAAGAATTTCTTCCTGATATCTAATCTGAACCTACCCTTTTTCAGTTTTAAACTGTAATCCCTCATCACTCCATGGCCTTGCAAAAAGTCCCTCTCCAGATTTACAGTAGGCCCCTTTTAGGTAGTGGAAGGTCCTCTAAGGTCTCCCCAGAGTCTTCTCTGCTCCAGGGTGAACAGCTCCAATTCTCTCAGCCTGTCTTCATAGGACAGGTGCTCCAACCCCCCTGAGCATCTTCGTGGCCTTCTCTGAACTCACTCCAGCCTCACTGTTGAGAGGTTATTTCAAGTCCTACTTCTGCTACTTCATCTTCTTGTGACCGACACAAACCCTGTCAAGCATCAGTTTGCCAGGTCAGAAAAGGAAAGGCCAACACCTCTGCAACTGACCGTGACCAGGGTCAGTTCTAGTCAAGTACTTTTTGTTCTCTCGGCAGGATCAACAACACTGAACTATGGAACAGACACAAATACCTGAAGTAAGCAAACAGTGTATCCCTAAAAGACTAATGTTATTAAAACAGAAAAGGGCTATACAACATTTTATTTGCAGTGTTTACTAAAGCATTCTCTCCAGAATTTCATCCATCTGGAACTTCAGATATAATCAGTAGCAGACACTGGATGTTACTCAACAAGCATGAGAGGAGGGTAAAGCCAGCTTTCAGCCTAGTCTGATGTCACTTGCTTGGAATCTGTGCAGCTCCTAACTCTTAAATCAAGTTAGACAATAGTCTCAGCCTTTTTAAATATGATACAGTTCCTTCCTGTTAGATTTTTGAGATGTCAGACAATTCAAACAGAACTATGTCCTGCCTCTTCAGATACTTCTTCCCACAGCATCGTCAAACATCATGATCCTAGGCAGTAGATGCTCTATTAATTCCCCAACATTTGAAGGGACTGAGAAGGTAAAACTCACTGAAAGTAAAACCCACTATCAAGAGCTCTACTCTTTCTTAAACTGGATGGCTCATGACACTGTTACAAGTTACAGCCACAAACATGCTCAATTAGGACAAGAGGGGAAAAAACCACCCAGGTATAGTACTTCTTACAGAAGTTACTGTAGTAGAACTAGCAGTGTGAAATTCAGTTCATCATGCCTGCAACTGTAACACAACCGTATTTTTTTTGTCCCCTCTTTATCTTTCTCTGCATATATGCAGTGATAGGACAAGGGGTAATGGCTTTGAGCTGCGAGTTGGTTTAGATAAGGTATTAGGAAAAAATTCTGTACTATGAGGCTCTGGAAGAGGTTGCCCAGAGAAGCAGATGTCCCATCCCTGGAAGTGTTTGAGGCCAGGCTGGATGGAGCTCTGAGCAACCTGGTCTAGTGGAAGGTGCCCCTGACCATGGCAGAGTGGCTGGAATTAGATGATCTTTGTGTTGGCTCTATTCAACCCAAGCCATTCTAGGATTCTATGATACAGTTCTTTATACAGTTTACATGAAAAAGTAGCAAGACATTCAAGGGATGAAAACCTGTCCATTACAGCTGCAGTATAGGTAGCACACTGGGAAAGTGGCTAAGACACAAATGTAAAAAACTGACCTTGCAAAGAAGAAATGTGCTTGTTCTTTGAAATTAAATATATTTATTATTATGCTGGAAAACAGGTATTAACAACTGCTGTTAGCCAGACCTTTAATCTGTGGACAGCTAAAGAACAATTAAAAGCCCAAAAGTGTGCCAAACACCATCAGATTAGCAGAATGTGCAATTAAAAAAAAAACAGGCAGAGAAAATAGAAGCTTACCCAATGCAACATGCCCTACCCAACACCACAGCCATGGAAACAGATGAAGGATCTGAGAGACTATATGACTGGGAGGCACAACAAGAGAGCAGGGAAGCAGAGAACTTGCTGGGCCAAACCTAGTGGAGATAGGCTTTGAAATCAAGAGGAAGCAAACTGTTCCTTTCAATGTTCAGGAATTTATGCACATCCATGGGCAGCAGGGAAACAAAGCAGAGCCATTTTTATCTTCCCAGTGCAACTATTTTGCAATTTTTATATTAGTGTTGTCCTCACTAATTGCAAAAATGGTTATTGCTAACAGAAAAAAAAAGGTGACATAATATGCACAATAATACATATGATATACAGTAAAAGCTTTTCTACTTATAGTTTACTACCAGTTTTAATTGATTTGACCTAGAAAGTGATTTAAAGCTATACTGGTTCATCAATAAATAAAGTGAGAGCAAGGCAAGGTCTGCAGTGAAAACTAATACCCTATAGACTGATATAAATTGAAGAAAGGCAAGTTCTGATGTTCACAAAATGGTCCTTCAGTCTATAAAACCTAACAACTAACACAGTCAAATTGCTTCTTTGTATCATTCACACTTCATTATGATTGCTTTTTCACATTGAAACACTGTGTGTTTTTTACTAACAGTAAAATAGACATGTACCATTTTAGCCGTAATTATGTGTCAATTGATAAAATACTAAAGTCGCAATGAAGCCTGACCTCATGGTCTGCACGGTTTGGTAAATATATCAAAATAGAAAGAAGTGTTGCTAGAGCAATTTGAGTTGGCCAAATTAATGCTGGTATGAAATGAGTATTCCTTTTCTAGGACCTGATCTAGTTCTCTTAAGCAGAGATTTATTGTAGATCAGGAGTACTTAAGTGTTGCAATCAACCAGGCCATACACATTATTCCTTGTGCACTGAGGTATTTTCACTTAAGGAAAAATCTCTAACAGGTATTTTCACTTAAGCAAGAGTCTGTAACAGGCACTTTTCAAACAGCCCAGTAATAAAGCTGAAGCTTTTTAACTGCAATTAAAGAAGGTAAATATAAAAGTAACTTCTACCCTTAATTTAATCAAGGCAGATACCTGCTTCCCTGCCAGTTCATAACTCAAGAGACTGTGCACATTTTTATTTCTCCCTCTAGAAAACTCTAGATGAAATCCCTTACCCCTAACCTATGCAAGAAAAAAGAATAAAAATCAATCAACCAACCACACAAGACGTAAACCTGAAGACCTGACATTATTCCTTACGATCTGTTTCCAAACCATGAACATTTGTATGCCCTTTGAAGCTATAGGAGTCATTGGATTCATATAAATCCATTGGAGGTTCAGCCAATTTTATTGAAAACTGAAGGATTCTAAATCAAAAAGCCAAATCTTCTGTTTTGCTGAGAAAAAATAAATGGGTTGAAAAATAAGTCAAAACAGAAGTTTGACTTGCACGATGCCTCACATGTGAGGCAGTCAAAACCTTTGCAAGCCAAAATGGCAGCTGGCAACACTAGTGAGGTCCTTCGCAAGCATCTTGCAGCTGTGAAGGACACCTGACTTTATCAGCCCTTAAATCAAAACACTAACCAACAAGGTAGTTTTCCACAGATTTGTCTTGCAACCAATTGCTGATATGAACTTTAGCTGAAGCAGATTAGGACGTGATTTCTCGTGTATGGATTTTCCACTATGTAACAAGGAGTACATCTTATGCCTCAGTCTTTATAAGCTCTGTGATTTATCTCAAAACTACTCCTGTTATTCACAGCATTCTTCTGAAATACACTTTTTCTGTGGGCCTGCTCCAGAAGAGAAACAGCTTATTTGAGATCTTTGATTCCCTAGAGAGCAGCAACTCAAGACTCCAGTGCAACATCTGTCCTATTCTATAGTCTCTGCAATGCTCTTGCAGCAACAGACTGAAGCAAAGGCCCCAACTGCCTCGGGCGAGCTTGGACTTTCCAGGAAGCCACTGTTGGAGAGAAGCAGTGGTGTTTTACAGGTCTATCAGCTAACCAAAATAGCCACTCACAGCTGAAAGCACATTCATTAACACCACGTGTCATTAGATTTCCACATTTCTCTCTAAAGATATTTAGTATTAATATTTGATGTATGCATGCATACATGACCCCAAAACTCGACAGTTTTTATTTACAGTCTTTATTTCCATTGCCTTGCTGCTGCTTTTGATGAATGCACAAGTACACCCGGGACTCTCAGAAATCAGCTCAGAATTGTAATCCTTATTCTTCTGCACTGGTGTGTGGGAAATCTGCTCTTTGACACTGGCATGCTCCAAGTCTGTCAGGGTCCACTGAACACCCCAGGACACCCTACACACACTTGACCTCACAGGGGCACCCCGACACTGCCATTCTGTCTGCTGGTCACGCTGTGCAAACAGGTAATTCACTGCCATCTCCTGGCAAACTGCGACTAGGGAGTTTCTGCCCAGACTGAGAGACAGCACTGACACAGCTGTCACCCAGAATCAGCCCGATCAAAGAGAAATCACACTTCAACCTGCAACAACACTTAAAAGTGGTGGCAAGAGAAGCACACAGAAGTTCTGCAAGGGACACCACTGCCTCTCTGTCCCTTTCCTCCCTAAACCAATATTGGACAGAACTTCAGGCTTGCTCCTGAAGAGAGCTTCCAGCATTCACAGGAACCTGGTGAGAACAGCAGCTCACAAGAGGGTTATCACATCCACACCTTAACACGCAATAGAAGGCATGGTACCCAACCAGTATTCAATCTTAGTTTTCTGTTAGAAAAAAGTAACAGAGGGTTTGGAAAACCCTGAAATTGAAGTTGTCTAAAACCCAGTTGCTGCTATAAGTGATCTTATCCATTTACCTAGAGCAAAACTGTTTCTCTGTTACTTCAGGGGAAACCAGGACCTGAAAAGTTCACATTAACTCTTACACAGAATCTGATGTGCTTGCTGCAGAAGGAAATTCTACTCTCCAGACTATTTCCAGAGAGAAAGACTGGAAAAATTCTAAGCAAAACTGCCTTAATAATATAGGATGATTGAGAATACACATAAACTTACTTAAGTTGGTTTATTTTAGGCAAAAAGAATGAAATTGAAAAAAGGACCACTGATTAAATTACAGAATTAAGCCAGTAGTCATCCAGTTGGCATTTAAGCACTGCTGTAAAGCCATCTTCACACTAGACCAATTCATATGATCAGATGGAATACTCAATCTCATTACACAAGCACATATATTCCTGCTCCATTTTGCTTCTGCCTTTATGGAACACTGCAGATGTTTCTGCTCCACGTGTTCAACAGAAAGGTCACACACCCTCTGGCCCTACTTCACTCTCCCATTCTTTTGCCCTGGGACTCTTTCCAAGTGCTACCTTTTAACTATTCCATTTACACAGCCATGAAAAAGCATATGTATCTGAAGTCCAACTCTTATTTTTATTCCTGCCTGCAAAATTCACATCCAAAATTCAGTTTTGAAATCCACCCTAGGTTCTTCTCAACAGCACTACAGGGAACATTAGTGCAGTAAAGCTCAGTGCTGACACAAACAGTGTTTACTTCCCTCCTCCAGCCACTGTAACACAGCAGACTTTAGAAGGGTGCTGTACAGATGAAAACCTTGTTATTCTGAAGTGCCAAAATTATAGATGATACATTATAGACACACATTATATATCAGCTAATGTCAGTAACAGCTGCTACTTGACTGATTAGACTTTCTAGACCAACTTGTCTAGCAGCCCCAACAAAACCACCAAATTTTCTCAATTTCTTCAAGGCATTAAGGAAACATTTTGAAAAATGCTATTCAGCACATACTGTCCTCGAATTTCTCCATTTTAACTGAGTAGAAAGTCTAATCAAACTGTTTTTCCAAGGCACGCACTGACAAAATATTCTGTGAGTGCCTTGGGACAGGTGATGACCAAGTGGAAACACCTGTTTACCACCACTGCCATGCCTCTCCATATTGCACTTTGAAGGGATTAGCTTTCTTCAAACATCTTAAAGCCTCAATAATTTTGCCATTTCTGGTAAATATTGCTACTTTTGCTTTTTACCTACTATGGAATTAGTGGAGGGAAAGGATCTCCACCTGCCTTTAAAACTATACTACTGCTGACAAGCTACAATGTCAAAATGTGTTTAGTATTTGGCTTTGTTGATTGGCAATTTGCAGCCACAAAGGGGAAGAAAAAGAAGTCAAAATGCTCTACCTCAATTCAACAGCGAACCTCTTCAAATAGAAGATAACTAAAATTAAGTGCAAGTTCAGCTGAGGCCCTGATGTTTTATTTCATTAAGAATTTACTCATTTAGGATTTCAAATCTGAACCGGTACCCCCCTCCTACCACCTTTCCAAGAGACACTCTCCACGAGTAACAGGTATTTAAACTCCATGTCTTGTATTTACTGACAGACCATAAACAGACACAGCTAGAGTACTGTAGTCTGTTCTATCATTAAAAAGTTGGTTGGTCTGTGTACAAAAGATTCTGAGTACTGAATTTGCCTCTTTGCATTCTGACAGCAGCAGAATCAGGTAAGGTAAATGTACGATCATATGAGCAGTAAAATGTGCAAGATGAGTAAGCACTGAAATCTTTTGCCAGTTTTAAAACCACTGGCTACATTTCCACCACCCCTCAGACTCTCCTCCCCTTACCTGAACTCGCTCACACACTGGTGGTGTAATGCAGGAATAGTAGGCTGGGAAAGGTGGTTTCAAAGTCAACTCTTCCTATTCTCAAAGCCTGTAATTGCTTCACTGAAAAACCTTAAGGAAAACTCTGGGATTAGTTAAGCATGATGTTTTAAGAGCAAAGTGTGGCAATTATACTTCAAAAGCTTAAATAACTTATAGAAGCTGCTTGATGCAAGTATTTATTCATATCCAATATGGAATTAACTACTTACAAAGCAAGACCTTTCAAGCTACTAAGTGTTGCTACTTACACTCAGGAGTATATTGAGTGCTACTGATTTGAGGCCTGGACGAAAATTTCTCTCTGTAATCAGATACAATATAACCAGAAATAATAACAGTTATAGTTCCCAGTTGGTCCTCAAACCAATATTTAACATAGCTTAGCCTCAAATATGTGTTCAAGGATGAAGTACCGACCACCTTGCAATTCAATAAAACGGGTACCACTTTACAACACAGGAAAGTAAACTTCCGTGCAAGCTTAACCATCATAGACACTGTTTAAGAAAAAATGTAGGGTCAATTAGAACTAGACTGAATTAATTTTATTTCCTTCCAAAAAGAATAGACACTAATTTAACTGTATACAGAATTTAATTTAACTATAACTATACAAGTTTCAGTATATTGTCCTGTTCAAAAACTGCTTATATATAAAAGAAAAAATACTGCCAAAATTCTAACGCATACTTTACAATTAAATGCCCCAACCTTCTTTCTACCCCTAATAACCTCAGACTAGAGTTGCAGTGTTCAGATTGATTTATGTATGGATGAAAATTCCCTTGGTCGTAAGTGTAGTTTCTTTATTACCCATGTTTTTTTTTTGCACTACCACCAACACTGGACTCAAAATTAAGTTTTACAGTATTAGCAATAAAAACTTTGATGAACCTTGTAAGAAGAGAATTCAGAAAAAGCTTAACAACACTTTTTACTGCATTAAAATATGTTACATGTCTCTAAAAAATAACTTATGCATTTCTGTGCATTTTCTCCTGTTTATTAATCTGTCACATTTTACTATAGTCTCTGCTAAGTTCTTTCTTTGAACACTTGAACAAATGAGTAGTAACCACTCTTATCAGACCATTTAAACTCAACTCCTTTAAGTTCTCTTAGAACACAAGAGTTTTTGTTTTGAAGCAAAAGGCATCAAATAAGGTTCCAAGAATTTTTATCATTACACTCAGTCAAACAAGTTAGCCAAAAGAAAAAGACAACTTTTTTTTTTTTTTTCTGGTATGACCACTCAAACCCTACCATTCCTCCACTTTCTATTGTTACTGCATTTAAACCTCCAACATTCTTTACCTTGACTAAATAAAGGTTTCCGTTTAGTTATGTACTGCACTGTTTTACCTAGTTGCTGTCCAGGCACACTGAAAACTCCCCACTACACTGCCAAGTCTCCAAATCCACCGTTCCAGTTAATGGAAGTCTAGGTCACTCAAAACCAGAATTACAGTCGGCAATTCTGTTTAGATATACCACCTGATGTGGTATTATGTAACTGCATCACAAATCACTGTAATTGAATGCAAAGGAAATGAAACCTGAGTTTATTAAGCTTCCAATTTCTGGGAGGTCAAGAGGAACTAGAACTGCTCTGGACAACAAAAGAAAATAGACTGTGCTTACAGATCATTTTCTGCCAGATTCTTTCTTTAGGACCACTGTTTTATTGTTGCCCTTTCTATTACATGGGGGGATGTACATATTATCAGGTGTTAATAAACGGTCAGTGCCTGTACAATACATTCTACAACTGAGCACCACTTTCCGTAACTGAACAGGCAAAGAAATTACACTGAACATCAGCATCTGGCAGTATTTCTCCAAAAAAAGTGACTAAAATGGGTTTAAATTGATTAACACTATTAAATCACATCTAATATTTGATACTACATGATTTCATTACAGCTATACGATACAATTATACAAAATGTGTTAACATCAAAGAATACAACCAAAATTAAGATAGCAAACAAAACCTATATAACTTTTTTTTCTTTACAGGAAAATACTTTTGAAGTATGCATGTAACTGCCCATTCTTTTAAAGAAAATCTACCGCAAGCAAGTTATCACCCTCCAGAAAATCACACATAGCATTACTACGCATATCCCCAAAAAGTGTACAATATGCACACTTGGAAAATACAAAATTAAAAAAAATTGTAAGCAACAGGTGAGCTTCATATTTATAAGAATGTGAAAAGAAGTCCAATTTTAGCACTGTTGTATAAAGAATTGTCTCTTTTGATGCAAGTTCATGAGCTGACCCGGCCAGTTGGGGACGCACTTTACAAAACACCGTGTTCTTGAAACGGGGTTACATATCAAGGTAGAGCATCTTAACAATGTCACCTTAAAGTTTTTTGTGTGATTTCTCTTTTTTTTTTTTTGCTTTTTATTTACTACTTATCAAAACACGTCCTTTAGTTTGTAAGGTTCTTTTTTTTTTTTAAAATTCTTTCCTAGAAACAATATACAAAGGGGAGGCGTATTTATTTCCAATTCATTTTCCTGCAAGACGCTTTTGAGTTCGAGAATGTTCTCCTCCAACTTTCACTGGTTGTTTTTGGCCTTAGCGTGTGTTAAGATGTGAGATTTCAGGTTAGTTGATTGCGCAAACTTCTTATTGCAGCCGTCAAATGGGCAAACGTAGGGCCTGTCGCCAGTATGAATTCGCACGTGTGTGCGTAAATTGAAGTCCAGTGAAAAACGCTTTCCACATCCTTCAAATGTACACTGTTGAAAGGAAAAGATACACTCTGTTAGCTAACAAAACAGCACACGTTTCCATCGTTGATTAGAGCAATATTCTTCTTCAAATCATTACACTGCACAAACATGAAGTCAGATGCTGAAGATTATTATGGTGAAGCTGTGAGCATCATCTGTGAACTACACCAAAAACTGCAATACTTAGGTATAGATACCGAAGTATACTATGTATATTATATATATAATAGTATATCTATTTTCAAAGAGGAACATAACTAACTTCCAGCTTACAAGCAAATGCTTTCGCTAAAACCACCTGTGCATCTGAAACAGGACTTTGTTACACTGCACTACAAAACAGAAACAAGGTTTCACATCAGCATTTCCCCCTTTCAGTGACAATTTGAAAGATTTACTCATTTTTACCCACTTTACTTTTAAGATGGGCTTGAAATAAAAAGGAGGGCATGTTCAGTAGTAAATACTTATACTGACCACAGAGAATATCCAGTGTAGACATTTAAGTGAATTCCTGAGGACTGCAAATCAAGTTTATAAAATACTTTATTTAAAAAAATAATTAAAAAATAACATATCTTAAATGTGTATTGGAGAACAGAGATATGCTCAAGCCTATGAACAGCTGTCAAGAAGATTTATAAGCAGTATCATATGAAGCGGGCAGGGGACCTCTGGTGGCAGAAGCCCACGTGACTTGATATAAACAGAAAGAGATTTAGTGACTCCCAGCATTTTGCTGAAAACTGATTAATATCCTCTACTGAAAATTAGTATCCTGAGTCAACTGAGCAAACAGCCCCAAGTCTCAGTTGTCCACAAGCACTAAGTTCAAAAGATGATGAGGAGAAAGAGGCATTTTCTTAATTCAGTAGTAACTGCAACCTTCATCGTTAAAGTAACTTCACATCTTATTTTGAAAGGCATCTCCCATGTACATATGATCTGGCAATTTCTAAGAGAAGTCCATGGAAACAGTTACATGACAGACTAATTAGCTGAAGGGGACTTCCAGTTTCTAAGGTGATCATTCACTGCCTCATCTGATTTTAGGAAAGACACAGACAGTATCCCCAAAGTCCTACGGAAGCCAGGTTCCAGTTACAGTCTACATGTATAAAGGGTGGTACTTATGCCTGGAGGTGAACAATACCTGAAAGGGTTTCTCTCCGGTGTGAACTAGCTGATGTCGCTTTAGTTTTGAGCTCTCCACAAAGGCCTTGCCACATTCTGCACATACGTGTACTCGAGGGCCATGAGTGTGCAGATGCTTCCTCATGGCAGAGTTGTCCCTGAACATCTTTGTGCAGCCCTTAAAAAGAAGAGTGAAACTCAATTAGTAGATAAGCTAGTTCTCATGAAGAAGGTTTTATCTGCTACAGTACAAGCATATAAAATGCTTTTATATCCTGAACACTTTTATATAAGTTGGCTCTGAAAAGAACATCCATTACATTTATTTTTAAAAAAGCAATACAAGAAAATTAATCATTTGAAAAGCTGATAAAAAAATCTAAACACAATCCCAAACATAAAAATCTCAAACTGTCTCCTCACTTAATACTATGAGCCATGTGCAGTCAAAGGAATAATAGGACAGTCTCATGAAGAAAATGCAGCTCTGATAGAAGCAAATGAATAAACCAAACAAAAGCACACAATGGTTTTAGAGGAAAACACAAACACAAAACAAAAAACCCAACAAAAAAACCCAAAAAGACAGAATGATAATTCATGGATACCTACGGTGTATTCTTCAATGTGCTATATTCCGAGTACTACTACAACATATTATATAGTATCTAATATACTACAAATTATTCTCTAGTACCAATTTGTACGTGCACCACTCCATCTCCCAACATTCTGTCATCTTCCTTCTCATTTCTGAGAAGAAATGGAGCAAGAGGGTTGGTTTCCAGCACATAACTTACAGAAACTACCATGTCCAAACTGGCAGCAGCAGACTGATCACTACCACCTTAAGACAGAGTGCCACTGCTACTACAGTTTAAACCTACAGCGTGACACTGGGCAGCTGAATAAGGTGAGAGAATCTGTTGAGTTAGTGCCAACTCAGTCTAAAAGCAAACAATACATTAACTCAGCTACAGCATCTGAAGTCTTAACCTGTGGTCCATGCTGCATCAACACAGGAATATTGCTTTTGATTCCAGAGTGTGCTTAAGCCAGCAGTGACCTGGGGCTCTCTTTACTTAATCGTTCTACTTGGTTTTTTTCACCTTTTAGTGACAATAAGCATATCTTCCTTGAGGTTCAAAATACCTCATAAAATCCTACTAACAACCATAAATTCTATTTGTACTACAAGTGATGCTGTTTAGACTTACATAAAACTAGTCTACCAACATCACTGTGTTATGAGGCATAAAATTTAACAGCAGAACCTAAAGGAACATTAAATTGCTAATATTAAATTCTGCAGGCTTCTTTTTCAAAAGTAATACATTTGAATATGCCTTATTTCTTAAAAAATGCGAAATGTCACTTTCAAGAAGAGTTCTCCCTTCAGGGACTAGAATTTCTTCAGCTAATTTTGAAGTACTGTGCCATCATTTGTTGCATGTAGCAGAACTGGGTGTGGCAAAGCAGCACCAAAATTAACAGACCATCAACTTTTTTTTGTATTTATTTCAAAGTCCCTGCTTGCCTCCAAGAGCAGCAGTTACATCTACAATATATTTCTTTTTTTAACTGCAGTCATAAATGTACAAAGCCTAGAAACACTAGAAGACAGAAAACGGAAAGATAAAACATTCTTTTTTTCCCCCTGTTCAGATGAAGTTGAAGCTATGAAAGAGTAAATCAAAGAAATGAAGGCAACATTCCTTGGTATTGTAAAGAGTAACTGTTCCTGTATTTCTGAATACTGCATTATGATAAAAACATGACACTTGTAGAATGTGGAGAACTGGAAATCAATTTAAGCACAAAGAGGAATTCAGAATTCCTTACACCATGGCAGTCAGAAAGTAGCCCTCTATTCATGCTAATGGGTACTATTAGCTATCTGCCCTGATTATTTGCTTAGGCTCACACTTAATCTAGACCAGAAGTCAGCAAGATTGTATTTGTCTTTTTTTGTGACAGGCTAAGTCAGCTAACAGAAGCACTACAAAAGCTGGATAATGCAGTAAAGACAGATGCTACCAATCTAGGTGACTGGCAACATTTATTCAAGACAGAAGCTTGAATGTGGTTCAGAATCGTACTGAAAAGCTGATAAAAAAACCTAAACACAATCCCAAACATAAAAATCTCAAACTGTCTCCTCACTTAAAACTATGAGCCATGTGCAGTCAAAGGAATAATAGGACAGTGGTTCAGAATCGTATCTCCAAGATGCCTGCTTCTCAAGATGATGCACCTTCCAGCTCTGTGGAATGTAATTCAGTCTTCCAATAACGCTGACTTTGGCATCTGCACCATAAATTGCTGATTCCTGATCTAGACTCCAAATCTGTCATAGTTTCCAAGCAGAGGATATATAGATCTTAGGAACGTACTTTGAACAGCTTTCAGAACATTCTTTCAAGTATGTATTCTTGGGTGTCGGGAAATCACAACAGTAAAACCAGCATGTTAGGGGCTGTGCATCATGGTTACCAGAAGATTAGGGATGCACTAACCTTAAGACAAGGAATGGGAATAATATATTATTCAGTGAAAGGTTTTTAAGGAAGCCTCTAGAGAATAATAACTAAAATACAGTTAACTGAGTGTAGTCTATTAACAGCAAGATATTTTAGTTTTTTATTCTCAAGAGAAAACATCAATACAAAATTCTGATCTACAAATTACTGTCTACTCATAAGCTGAGCACTTCACTTACTTTGTGAGGACAAGCTATCGTTCGTGGAGCATCATCTTCTTTAATTTTTCTTGGTTTCATTCTTAAAGATAAAAAAGAGAACCAACAAACATCAGTATAAAAACATTAGTAGACAGCTCTTCTCCTCTAAGTGCATATATAATGAGTACATTTATCCCTTAGTGTTACATGCATCAGTGGTACTCACTTTAACATTTTCAAAACCTTCATAATAATAATAACAGTATAATTTAGGATTTGCAAAGTTCTGCTTTTCCAGAAGGACCTCTCAAATACGGAATAAGACATTTAATGCTACCTTCTTAATCCTCTATGTGGAAATAGAGGTTTTTCCCCTGACTTATACTAATTGTAAGTAGGAGGTTTTGTTTGAAAACTCCATTTTTGTTGTGCCAGTACCCATGTGGCCTGTTTAGCTTCACTTCCTCTCCATAGGACATGAAGAAGAGAGTAGGTGCAATCATTCTTCAGAACTTTCACCACACACAAATCTTCAGAAGAAAACTCTACAGATGTGGGGAAAGCAGGAATCAGGCAAGTTGTGGAATCTACACAGACAACGTAGACAACCATTACAACCACAGAAATAGTCACTTATTCTTACTTTAAGCTACTGTGTACATGGATTCCACTCTTGGCAACTGACAATCAATCACCTACTTACTCTTGGTCGCTGACAGGGATCTTCATCATTACTTTCTGGGTGCCACTGATCTCCACTCACTGCATAAGGAGCCCAGCAAACTATTGTTTGTATGTGCTAGGTCTATTTAACACATAATAAGACTCTTTGTAGAAAAAAATCTTAGAACAGTGTTGTCACAACAACCACCTGTCAGAATTCAGAAGAGCCAGATGTGTGACATCACTCTGGGGAAGTGAACTGCACTTTTAGTTATCTTTATTTCTCAAGCCTGTAGTGCTGTCTCCAAAAAAACCAAAAAGAGAAGGCTTATCCCCACCTAATGGCAGAGGTAAGTAGGTGTAAATAAATGCACCTCACACAGCTGGAGATTGCCTTAGATGAGTAATGAATTTTGCACATTCCCAAACCTTGCTGTAGAAGCAGAGCTAGCCTATTCATGTGGGTTATTGAACAACTTTTCCTGATAATACAGTACAAGATAGTTCTGTGTGACAAGGTGGTTACATATCAAATCTGTAAGTTAAACAAAAGGTTTTCTGGTGTACTTTAGTCTCAACTAAACAGAGACGAGTGGCTTGAAATAAAAAAAATAATTGGAATTAATCAGAATCACTATTCTTAACATTAAGAAGGAGAAGTGTCTGTTGCTATCCAAGACAGTTTTAATCCCCATGAATTCAGTTCCTGGAAACTGATATTGAAGAACAGGGTTGGGGGAAGAGATTTCCAAGCAATGTATACACGTACTTTTTCCCCATGCATTTTTATTAATTAATCTGAGCCTGGCTAAACAGCAACTTCTAAACATTTAAAAAACACTCAAGAGCTGTAGGAAAAATAAGCTAAAATCCCTCTAATCTGACCGCATTTGTTTCTTTGCAGGCAGGGTCTATCTTCTTTGGTACTGTCACACTCCCGTGTCTATGGCTGAAATCTGCTCTTTCACCTACCTCCTTCACGTGGACTGCTGAGAGGACAGCAATGAAAGGTCTTGAAAGGATGAATTAAGGCAAAAGCAGTGAAAAAACTCCCTGAGAAGTCCTGAAGACCCAGGAAAATATTCTCAGAATTGCCAGTGGAGTAATATGTGATGGACTAGTCTCCTATGGCTCTGCCAGCTATCACTGGTCCCTCAATCTGACTCCTTTCAGTACTACACGTGCAGCACAGTTCCACATTCATAGTACTGCAGGAACTGAGACTATAGGAAAACACACACAAAAGCTTTCTTTACAGTACCCCTACAGAAAGCTTCAACTACCCTTTGCATGGGATTGCCCTTATTACATCTCTGTGAATTTTAAAAACAGGAAAAGACACAGAAAGGAGCATCTGTAATGTCAAAACGGTCACATAAGAGAATGATTTGACAAGATGGGACATGAGAGAACACAGTGTTATGATTAGAGAACAAACACCCTTAGGAGATAAAGTTGGTGCCAAAACCATCTCCTTCTATCAACTTGTTAAATATAGTCTGAGTCTTCCCCCAGCCTCAGAAACAAAAGTAAAAAATTCCTAAACCCAAGGTCAGTGTTCATGACTGATCAGAATGACTAAAACCACTATTGTTCTGAAGTCTTAACCGACCACCTTTAAAGGGAGCGACTAGACCAAAAAAGGATTGCTAACAACAGATGTGGCAAATAGCTTTAGTGGGCAGCACCTGTATTTTTACACTTTGCCTAAGATCCTACTGATCGTTGTGTTAAACCCTGTTCCTGACTCCTGCATTTTGCCTCTGGTATTAAGTCAATCTTTGAGAAAGAAAAGTTGCAACAGTGTCATCTCTAACAGGCTGCTGAGGTAGAGCGAGAAGGAAAATACCCTGGGCCAGTGTAGTCAGGGAGCTTGAAGAACCAACTGCAGGTGAACTGGATGGTCAGACATGGGACAGACTGGAGCATCAACATACACCTTATATTTTTCAGTTCAGTGCCTGAGCAGGTACGTAACATTATAAATGGCCATTCTGGAATAAGCTGACTTTTTAATTTTCAAGCTTTGTTTCTAAACTCAGGATTATCAGTCCAGGCAGTATACTTGAAATTTAGTCACAAAATGACAAAAAGCTCTAGCTAATAAACGAGCAGATTTTAAATCATCTCATTTTTCATGGAAGCATGGCGAGTGGGCAACTTAAGCCTAAAATGTGGAACAAGACTGTGCTTATGCACAGGGTTCCATAGACAGCCAAGCTAATCAGCAAAACAGAAGCACACACTTTGACAGGAAGAGGTGGCAAATGGTGTCCAGGCTGTATCTTGGTGCCAGAGGCAGCAACAAACTGCCAAGCCCTTTACAGACTTGGATTAAAGGCACGAGGGCACGTACAGCACAGGCACAGCTACGATAGATCCTTGTGTTAGCAATGTCATCTTGCTCACAAGGCTACAGAATCCATATGGACAATCCCTCAAAGAACTCAAACATATTAGAAAAAAAGATTTTGGTCTTACTTTAAAATTAACTTTCTGCAAAAGGAGACCAGACTAGAATCTGGGCTGTTGATCTTACACTGTTGCAGGTAGCTCTTGCTGGTGGCAGTCAGACTTTTGGCTCCCACCAAGTAGAGCATCTCTGCCAGCTCCATCCAAGTTTTCTTAGCCTGAAACATTAATCATAAACAGAACTCTAACAAATATAACTATTTAAGACAACTACAGATCCACACATTAATACTGGGGTGGAACTTCTGAAACACTCTCCTTTGCAGAAAATCAATTTACATGGCAAGACCAGAATTTTCATTTCTGCAGTGAATTTATATGGCCATGCTAGTAGTAGCTAACTGTGAATATTAGGAAGTGTACCTTTTGGATCAAGGCACTGGGACACTGCAATTAAAGGCTAAGTCTTAACTTGTACTGGGTGGGTGGAGGGAAGGAATGAGTGACAGCAGAGGGAGAAGGAAGGTGTGCAACCTTACAGCTTTACAGAATAAGCTTCACAAAAGCGCACACTCCTATCCATGCATAAGGAAGACTGAGTGAAATCACAACAACTCAGTTTCTCAAAATAAAGCAAGCAACATTGTCACTGTGCAAGTATGTGAAAGTTATATCTAATCACCTCCTTTCATCTACACATCTGAACTGAAAGTACTGTACCCTGACAGAACCAATCCCCACCCCATCAACCTCCACAACCTATATACTCGTCCATAGACCCAATTTTAAAAGTTAGCCACAGGAACAGTGTTAAGGCTAGGAATAAAGTAAATATAATTCAAAAAACAAATAACAGTATAGGATTTCCTCCTTGTTTTGAAATCTCTTTTTTTTCCACTGTTAAGAGCTCTGCGTTCTCACATCTTTTTTTCTCCCTCCATACATAAATGTAACCTAAACAGCATTACACTCTCTCAGGCAACTCCTTTGACACAACCTAGAGATCTCTGATGACAAGTAGTGATATTCACCTGTGCTGATGACCAAACCCCTAAGAACAACAGTCAGACATGGCAGAAATTATTCTCTCTCAGCAGTGTTACTGCCACTGCTGATCTGTTCCCTCCTCGTGCCATTCCCTTTGTGCTGCCCTGCTGAGCAGAACTAACATGAGCATCATGGCCCTGTGCTACTGCAAGAGTTCACTTGGGTTGAAGAACTCCTGAAACTGGCTAGACTGGCTTTTGGACAAATAGATAAAAGGGGAGTGGCACAAGGTGTCCCAGCAACCTATGTGCAACCCAAAAACCCACAGCCAGTATCTTAACCGTGCTTCGGTCAGTTAGGTAGAAAAACGTCATAAAAAGTTTTTTCACTCCATCATTCTGGCAAAAATAATTACTAGGTTTGTTCCAGATATGAAGGATATCATATGTGTAAACAGGGAGAGTGACCTTCGCAGTGTGGTACAGAGCAGAAGATTTCCCCTCCCCTAGAAGAGCACTCTGGGTAAAGCAATTGTCACTTTACTGCCCTTTAAGCTTCTCTGCAACAAGAACAAAACCAACACAAAAGCATACACCTTATAAAGAGGCCTAAGTCATAAATCTGGGTGACCAGAATGCTTTGTCAGTTTTAAGAAGGGTGTCCGATTTCAAACGCTAACGCAGTTTCCTCTCCTTTGCTTTCTAACCGTTTGGAAAGCGGATAGAAAGGAAGGGCAGTTCTCACAATGGCTCTCTCTCAGAAAAGATACCAAGAGCACCAGAAGATGAAACCATGGAGAGTAAAGTTTTTACCATCAAGACCCATTACTGTGCCAATTTCCCAGCTACAGAATATTCCCTTATTTCTTAGTTTTACTGATGCCTGTTTCCTGCTGTCTATAGCCAGTTCTATAGCATGGATCTGCCTGGAGAACAAGAGGGAGGGAGGGGGCAATCAGGGTGTAGCTGGTTGTTAGTGGCTTGCTTTGAGGGAATTTGCCACATGCCCCCGCTAGAAATATCCCTGCTACCTTCCCAAGCTTTTAACACCAAGCAGTTATGATTTCTTCACAGCTAACTACTGAATTACTTGTAATCAATTTAGACTGGAATGAAACATTTTATTCCACTTGAAAGAATTTCCATTGTCACAGTCAAAGGTATGAAATGAAAATATGGTAACTTATTAGGTTTTATGTCTTTCTGAGCACATCATTCACAATTAACATTTCACATTTTGATATGATTGTCACAGAGAAATCCACCTTTTTTTAAACTGCATTTTTAAAGCATGCTAGAGAAAATTCATGACTCCTAAACCAGAATGAAATAATCTGTAAAAGGTGATAAACTGCCCAACTAGGTATAACTTATGGTAATTCATCTGTGCACTACTGAACACATCTTAATGTTCTGACACAGCTTGTTTATTCAATGTTTCCAATGGAATCGTAGATTGCATAAAAGCTTTTCCAGGAAGAACCATAAGAGTTCCAGTTAAAGGATCCAGATTCCTGCTATGTGACTCAATGACAAATACACTAAACCAGGTGGTGAAAGACAATTGTACCACAACAGACAGTCAACAGCTCGCTCTGGAGTCCCACTGAGCACTGATGGTCACTGCAGATGCTCAATTACTACAGTTACTCAATTACTACAGTTCCAAATTATTTTTTTAAGGGTTGAAGAGCTACAGACGACTTCAAGCATCAAGTCCATTCCTGCACTACCTTTCACTTACTATATCATGATCATAACACACAAACCGTGCCCAAAATCTACTACCACTAGAAATCAAGCTTTGTTTAAGCTTAACCTCAGAAATTTGTTCCTAATAATCAATGCCTGGTTTTCAGTAGCTAATTTCTACAAATGTATGGTGAGATTCTTTAAACTACCTTAACGAAAACAAGAAAGCAAACCCACATAACTTTCTGTCAACTACACAAAGCACACTTAGGATACAATTCTACTAGCCAGTTCACACTTCCTTATATGAGGACTGTCAAAATTCTTTTTCCAAGTAATCAAAGTTTTTTATTCAAAACTTTACTCAAGCACACGAAGCTACTTAACAGGTTTACAACTTTCAACTTCATGTGCTGCTCAAAGTTTTCAGAATACAGCTACTAAGAATTTTGAAATTCTGAACTGTAAACAACCAGCAATGTTTGACAATTTCAGATAAATTTACATTAAACACATTCTTTTAGCATGAAAAACTGGTTCCTTGAACCTCCAAACCCAATCCCACACATGTAAACCCAATTTTTTCTTCCAGCTTGGCATGCAATGTTTCTGGTGATATTGCACACAGGAAGATCAAAGAGACAACTGAGCAGTGGTTTGGAGATATGAGTGCTTGAATTCATCTTATTAGATCCAAACAATATTCAAATTCTAATACACCCATATTCTTTATTCTCAGAAGAATAAACAAATGCAATAATTTAAAACATAAAAAAAAATTAAAAAGAAAATGGTTGTGTGTTAAGACAAGGGTGAAAGTTTGACAGTCATCAATTCTGACCGAGAAATCAAAAAACTTTCCTTAAAACAGAAACGCATTAAATTTTCATGTATCTAAAATTAAGCTATCAGAACAATTTTTCCTAGGTTTTGAGCAACTTGGGGATACTGCTACAGGATATGTCCCCCTAAGTTGCTTGTTCTATCATCGTATACTTCTCACTGAAGTGAATTACATTTTATCTGCTGCACAGAAATAGATTAACAGAAAAGGGACTGTACACACAGACCTCAATCTTTCCATCATCTGCTACGAATTCTAGCTCTGGAAATTCCTAGAACATTCCACTATGAATATAAAAAAAAAAGTGATAATTTTAAAATACTGCCAGCAGCCACCATTTTCTCTATAGAAAACTAACTAAAACATTTTACAATATTCAGAAATATGCCGACAGATCTTATAGAAGTAGTCTGGTCATTTCAAGAAGCCCAAATCCTGGCAACCATTTCAAGTATTCAAACCAATCTGGAGAAAAAGTATTCAGTATCTACATAAAGAACAGTCTGTGAGAAACTATTTCCACTTCCTAACAAAAGACAGCTATTCAGTACTTCAGTGTTTAACAGAACCAAGAGTTTCACCATGTTTTAAAATAACATATAATAAGTAGAAATATGGAACATTTTAGAATTAGAACACTACATACACTCAGGAGTATCACTTAAACATTTGCTTTCACAAAAAAAGTGTATGAACTTTTCAGCAGGTTTTAGAGAAAAATACATTAACTTTGATGAACAACAGTAAAACAAGAAAGAGCCGTATCATTATCTAGAACCACTCATCACTTTAGATAGAACCTTGTTTTCAGTTGTTTATGATGTGCTTTTAAACATCTTCAGATCGGATAGCCTGAAGCACAGAGCAAGACCTGCAAAATTATTTTACTAGCCTTCTAAATTCATTGTTCAATGGCTATACTGAAAATAACTGTGGGATGAGGCCGTGCCGTCATTCCTCTGGCACAAACACACTACAGAGTAACAGGAAAAAACTTGTAGAAAAGCAGCAAGATCAAAAAGGTGAAACAGGAATAGATGCTGTTTCACTGAACACCAAGATCCATGAAGCCAGACCAGAACTTGTATCAACAGTCCCTGCCACCTAGTAACTACAAGGAAAAAGGCACGCTTCTGTACTAGGTGACCTAGGAAGTAAAAATACCACTTGTTTTAAGTGCCAGAACTGTGCACCAGAGCTCTGAAGAACAGCCAGCTGCTAAAAAATGAAAATTAGTGTGGCTTTACACGTACATTTTGTTTTCAACATGGGTAATACTCGTAGCAGCAGCTAGAGAAAGCTATGGCTCAGATATGTAGAGACACAGCACCAACGCCGCCCCTGCACAGAGCAGAGCAGAAGGGGAACAAGCCAGCGCTGCAAAGGCAACCCCTGTGTGGCACTTCCAGGGGCCGGAGCGACCTCGCGGTTGCCCTCTGGTGGCCACGGGTGGCCCCGAGCACCCGGTACCAGAGCCAGGGCCCTGCAGAGGACACTTGTCGGTACCCCCAGAACAAGTTACTCCACCTCCATTTGACAGTCAGTCACCTTCTCACTCAGGTCAAGGAATTGATATGTAAACGAAGGACAATACTGACTTAGTAGAGGAAAATCCAAGCAGTACAGTTACCAATTGTGACTGCAATTATCAGTGGCACTTCAAAGTGCACAACACGTGACTGTGAAGAAGTTGTTAAAGACCTCGAGCTTAAGAAGCAGGTAACAAAACAGTAAGTGACTTTACAAACTAAATACCGTAGTCTAGCTTTTTAGTACTGAATAACCTGAATGTAGCATTTCACTTACTGGATCCTTCAGTGCTCAGGATTTTAAGGCTACTCATATCAAAAAAATGTTCTGTCATGTAAAATCAAAGACTTGATAGGGGGTTAGAAGGGACTTCTGGAGATCATCTAGTCTAACCCCTGTGCCAAGGAAGGCTCACCCAGAGTGATGCAGTCTATCGATGTATTTAGGTCCTGTCTTACCCAACAGAACTAAAGACCAGAAGTCACTGAAGAAGTGACTGCTGAATATAAACCCCACTTCCTTTAGTTCAGAAGAGAGCAGCTGATGCTAAGTCCCTTGTTTTAGAAGATAATTAAATGGAACAATAAGCCATACTAAATCTACCATTCTGCCTAACAGTTTCATAATTAAACCTGTGAAAAGAAAACCATTTCAGTTTAAAGTTCCTTTCTTCCTACTTACCTAGCAAATTCAGCCAGTTGCTTGGGGTCCGAGAGGTCAATGCCAGGTATTCCACCAGGAGGAAGTTTCTTCCCTGTCATGTACTCTGAGTAATCTGGAGGAGAATTCTCTCCAATGATCTGCTCTTCCACTACTGTTTCATGGTCAATATCTTTCTTATCATCTGAAATACACAAAATATTGAATTCAGTACCTACTAAAGATCAAAACGGCATATAAGTTATTAGGCTGCATCTCAATATAAATTCACTAATGCTGCACATTTAAAAAAATACACTGCACTTCCAGATCTCCATCGTAATTGTGAAGAACAAAAAGACAGTTACAGAATGAAGAACACAGGAAGAATACAGTGGGCGAGGAGAAGAAGCAAAAGTTGCATATCTACTTATATACAAATACAGAAATAAGTAGAACAATCCTATAAGTATTGGTTGCATTTGAAAGATAATGTACTTTTCCTGAAACAATGCCTAAATATTCAATTCCCCTAACTCTTCAAGACTAACCTTCACCATCCCCTCTTTGATACTCAACAGCAGTCCGTAACTCTGGAATTCTATCAGAGGAGTGGCAGACACTTACCCTATGATGTCAAGACTACTGATCTTTACTTCAAGTCTTCAGACCCCTTGACCTCCAACAGAAGTGTCACAGAGGGACAAGAAATTTAAAAATAACTGCTAATGTGCTTCAGCACCTGCTTGTAAAATTAAGGGTTTTAAACACTTGCAGACTGGTCTGAAAGAAAATAAAAACTTAATCCTGTGTCTCCCTCCCAAGGGGGCTTCTTCCTTCTGTGGCAAAGGCCAGCCTAAGGTCCTTCCCACTCTACTATGCAAACAGCAGGCTGGAATTATTCAGAGCTTTGATCTACAAGCCAGTTAAGATACTGCTATTTTCTCTGCTCTAGAGCTCCTCCTACGAATTTGTGCTCAAGGACTGCAGTGAAATCATGTGTAAGACCTGCTGTTGCTGTCTACTCACATTTAGACCTTAGAACATACAAGACACAATCTTTTCTCTCTCCTATTTCTTTTGTAACAGAAATCGAAATACACAAAAATTATAGAGAATAGAAACATCCACCTATGTTCCTCACTGAAGTGTCACACCATACACAGCACCTATCCTGTTTTCCACCCTCAAATACACCTAATGCAAGAGATGTATATATGGTTGTAACTGCTCAGCTCAATGTAATAAACTTGACAGTACATTACTTCTCCTACTACGTGTATGGGGGACAGATTCTGGAAATTATTTTATACACAAGAGGTTTTACAAAAATAACATAAAGTTTTGTTTTACGGGTAGTGTTTAAGCAATGAAAACACAAGGTGGTGGGACAGAAATAGTATTTCACCAATTAATAAGAGATAGGAAAACATAAGGCAGAAAACAAAAGAGAAAAGGTTTTGGTTTCCTTTCCCCTAAACAGAAACACAGGAAATAACATTAGTCATTACTCAGTAACTTAGGCTAGGAGAGAGAGGACAAGATATATGCAAATAAAGGACATATACTAAGCACAAATTTGTATTCAATTTGTAATGCCTGCTTTTAAGGTTTGCCACCGAGCTATTTCTAGAAATGTTACTGCTAGTTTGGGGTTTAATCTGATCTACCAGATCAAATAGCAGTTCATGTATATTCCATGGTGAAAGAGGAAAACAGACTCCAACGCTGCAAAGACAGAAGTGTAAATAAGAAAATACTCTCTGCAGCATTAAATCCAAAATAAACCTCAAAATCGACTATTTGAACCTTTTTTATTCTCATCTAGTTTTCTCACCACACTATGTTTCAGCCTCTTCCAGTGCTTTAAAGAAAGCAACTGAATTTACTTTAAGTGAGGATTATACGTTAAATTTTACAGCACCTAAAGGAGTTACAAATTCAAGTCAAAAAACCTTCAATTTGGCAACATTTTTTCTTCTAAACAGAAACTTGAAAAAAGATTATTAGCAATGCCTACACAGGCAGAAAAGACATGGAGCCCAGAAGGGCACGAATTTCTGTAAAGCTAAAAGCAATGCCTTCTCCATGCTGTAGACTAGAATGAGATCAGCTGCCTTCAATGTAGCCATTTCAACAGCTACCCAGAACTTGCAGTTTGACTGTTTGATGACATTCATAACATAGACAAGTTTTCATTTCCTGCCTTAGATCAGAAGCACGAGTCAACAGGGAAATTTTGTATACATTCCTAAAGATCTTCTTTCCTTCCCTACTGTAAAGGCTCACTATTCCACAGTGCTTTCTTGCTATTTGAGGACCAAACTGAAAGTCAGCCTTCAGTGTCTTTACTTCCCAAAAGCCTGCCAACAAAAATCAGTTCTACAGCTATTTAATTCCACAGACTACTGGAGCAAAACACAAAAAACTATGAACGTATTGCTTTGATAGAGTAGAAAATAAGAGAAACTATTGTTTAATATATTGACAGTTATGTGAAAATAAAAAACAAGCACATTTTTCCGTACCAAAAAACTGCATCTCTACAGCAGCACACACCTCCACTTCTAAAAATGAATTTAAACCAAAGCAATAAAATACAAAACAGTTACCTTCAAGTCTTATGTCAGGCTAATACTTCTGAAAAAGTAGCAACAGACTTCAATAGCTCTTTAGTATCCAGACCATCCTAGTTACAGACCATCCTATGACATTATCAACTCACTAGGAAAACAAAACAAAAACAACACACAAAAACCCCCCTTGAAGGAAGTTTGGAAATGGAAAAACTTTACTAATGTCCTCTGTGCATAAATTTAGTTTATTTGTGATGCCCTACCAACCTGGACTAGACAGCTCAAAGTCTGGAGGGTAAAGTGCAAGCAAACTTTCACTCAGGCTGACAAGTTAACCAATAATTCTCACTGCAAACTGGGTAAGTTGATTGATGTTTTTTGCCTTCAAGCAAATCCTGATGCCTACTACAGGCAAATTACTTCCCGCTTTTCCTCTCACGAAGCACTGGAGAAGCAAACATATTGCATCCAAAGCAAGGCAAAACACAGACACAACCCTGAAATTACAGTGACACCTCTGGATAACTGCAGTACAAATAAGGCATAGTAACTCCATGCAGTTTATGCCCAAGCCAACCTAATGTGGATGCCACCCATGCAAGCTAAATATGGACAGAGCCATGGAGCCAGTCAGGAAAAGGAAATTAACTGCTATGTATTATCTGATCCACTGTTTTGTCCCTTAAAACCACTTAAGAGTAGAGCAAACTCAAACATAAGGCATTCTGCTTAAGTGTGTATCTAGCGCTATTCTTACACATCTAATGCAACTTTCTGTTATGAACTTGGAACAGGATTTTAGTCCCCCTCTTCTGAAAGACAGAGAGGATCTGAACACGTCAACTAGCTAATCACCATCTTCACAGAAACATTCACTACCAGTCACTGCAACAGCTACGTCCAATATTCATCTATCTCATAAAGCTGTAAAATACTGGTTTGTTAGAGACACCACAGATATTCCCCTAGATCCTTTTATGCCAAATTACATTAAGATAGGTGTATAGTCTAAACCGGGTTTTTCTATGCCCCTTTTTAGAGCGCATACCCAAACACGTCTTCATGTTGTGTCCTTCCACCCGCACTACTCTCATGCCGTATATTCGGGCAGCACACATGTCGAACCGGATCCACTTAGGCCCTTCAAAGCAACTACTTCAAACATTTTTTTTACTAAGATCAGTGAAAGTTCACTGTTTTAGCAAGCCATGTCTTTTGACTACTGGCGAAACAGTCAGAGGTTTTAAGAGAACTAAAAGTACCAACTGAAGTAGGAAGAAGCGAGATTACTGGGATAAAACTAGTAACTGCAGATTCAATGACAAAACATGGTAGAATCTGTCTCTTAAGACTTTATTAATCATGCTTTGCCTCTTATTACCATGCTTTCTCCATCTCTTGCAGCTTTTCTGTTGCACAGAAAATCCACGCACCTCAGAACCCCACTATTTCATGCATTTCTAGACTAACAGCTAGCTCCAGCTGACAGCTCTGGAACTCCCCAGTTTTCTAAGATGATGCTCTTAACTCTCAACCCAAGGAGCCCTGTCAATATTTTTGCCTCAGTTATTCTTGATTTTAGCCATCATATTCCACTTTGAGATCCCCAAATCCTGAGCCATCCTTCTCCTCCTCTATTACCAAGCAGAGAGAAAGCACTACTGTTCAATCGGTTTTCCACTGTGGAAAACAGGGTGCCAAAGGGAACTCAGGAGGTACACCTGGCAGCAAAGCAATGAGACCTGATCCTATAGCTTCCTCCTCAAGGTACCAAGTTAAAAGACATTCTACTTACCAGCTAAAAGGATGAACAACATTTAAGCTTAAATTTTCTTTTTATGATCACACAGTTAAACACATTGGCTTTTAGGAACAGCTGAGAAGCAATTACATGATAAAGGATGTATTCGGCAACTGAGCAGTACCAAGGCACTGTCATAACAGCTTGGTTATTGCTACCACACTGCAATCTCCCCAGGCAAATTAGTTCATTGGTCATGTTTGGAGGCAAAGAACTGTAATTAGCTTGTTAAATAATACAGTTATTTAGCAGACACTTCTGAATGTTAAAATTCTATTTTGCACAGTATGTCATTTTTTAACCTAATCGGCTGCTAGGTTACTTTCCCTCTGACGTGCCTTGCATACAGATGGAGAACAGGTTCTTCTTTCCCCCTGTCACCCATCTCTTATTTCACACCACTGAGACATGAACTGACAAAAACAGTGCATATATCAATAGTCATCATCTGACTTCAGCATTTATGAGACACTGTGCCGAAGCACTATGACCTTCTGAATGGTCAGCATATGAGCAACTCAAGCATCCCAGGGAAGGATCCAGTAGCAAGCTAGAGGATTCTAGTTTGAAAGGTGGGCTAAGAGGCAAATTAATTGAGTTATTTTAGATGGTGAAACACATGCATGTATTTCACTTTCAAAACTGAAAATACATTTAAAATAGACACAGGAAAAGGTCCATCTTATCACTGGAAAAAACATCAGGGTAGACTCAATACTTACAGATACCAGAAGCCTGTATCATAGTCTTAATCAGAGTGAGAAACAGATTGTCATCTTAATATTTTAAAGGAATCACTTTCTGCCTCCATTATGAAAAACTTTCATATAAGAATCTCATTACCTATCTGTCCTCGTAAAGCATTTTGGCCATCCTTGATACAGGTCCACAACCGAACGAAATGATTCATCTATCATTTATACTATATAAGACAACTGGTCAGACAGCAGATGGCTATTTTTCTCACCCCTGCCATCTGATGAAGTAAAATGAAAACCCTCCTATATTTTTTGAGACATTGAGTTTTTCTAAGAGGTTTTGAAAAACTTTCTAGAAATCCAACATGAACTCCCCAAGCTTCCAAATGTGGGTCCACAGCACAGGCTTCCTGGATGATCAAAAATAATTTTCAAACCCTGCACGTAACTTCTGCATCTTTGTCTTTCCCATCTAGGGATAGGATACTTGAGCAGTTTAACATCTGTGGACAATGTTTGGTTGTGCTATTTCAGTCTTAACTTGCAGACTATGCTAACAATAATAGTTTAAGCCAACACCTATTTCAGGTTTGAAAGCTTGACAGTCATTACCTAGAAGCAGATGTAGTTACACTAATACTTTTTCCCCACTCAAAATTAAGCCCCAACTGCTTGAAATTTCAGTATTTAGTGCAGCCAGCATTTAAGCACCACCTTCCAAATGCTCCTGCATGTAAGAATCAGTTTTCCAAGTACCATCTGAGAAAATGATTTCTCACAATCCTTCCCCACCCCCATTGCTATTGTGCACCCAACCTGGAGAAAGTCAATAGAGACAATGATTCAAGTTGAATCCAGCAAAGGCACAAATAAATTCCACCTGATAAAAACAATTTTTCTAGTACAAATTGGGATGTCTCTCTTGGAGAGCACCATTAAGTTTAAACAGTTTTCTGACAAATATTAGGACAGTATAAACACACTACAGGAACATGATTGAAGTATCCACCAGATATACCTCTTCGACTCTTTCAGAAATATAGCACCTTTGTTCACTTCTTATTTTCACACATGAAGAAAAACAAATAATTCTATTCTGAAGATCTGAAAAGCTGATCTGAACTAGAACAAAGCATTCCTGTTTCAAACTAAACACTTTAATTATAGGTCACAAGTTTGATATCACTATAGATACCAAGGTGATAAGAGAAGTTATGGTAAGTTTAAATCGTTGCCAACAACAGTACTGCAACTTCTAAATAACCACATAACAAGACGAGGACTAAGTAGTCCCCTTTAGTCACATTGCTATGTATTTCACAGATTATTTCTACACATTTCAAAAGGTGTTACAAGACATGTTATACTCAATTTCTGGACAAAGATTTATGATTGGTTAAATTTGGTACCACCCATGTACAAGCTAATATAGTAGCACCAGCAAACAGTAACAAGGAATTAATTCACATTGTCTTCCCACACTGTGGTGAGCGAAGTGCCCTTGGTTCCTGATTCAAAAACCCATGCACAGCAATATAGGGCTCATTGTTGTATCTTAATGCGTGGCCTTATTTACTGTTCCGTCTCTTGATGAACTTCTTGCTAAGCATTTAAACCAGTCCATTACATCAGTGTGCAAGCAAGTCTTTAATTATGTTAAAATATAGATGCAAAACTGCTATCTGTCTTCAAAATAAAGTATGCCTGATTCTGCAGGGAAACTTCAGTACTACTACCTTTTTGCAAGTCAGTAGTTTTGGGGGGGTTTTTTTGCATTAATTTACTCTGGGGGTTTTTTGTGGGTACTTGGGGTTTTTTGGGGTTTGCGTGCGTGTGTCCCCCTGTCCCAAGTACTGTTTCTTTTGCAATTTTTCTGGAAATTTTTCTGGATTTGCCCTCTGAAATTTCAGGGAAAAAAAAAAGATAAAGCCACAGAATTTAACCACTTCGGGCCACTTCTGTAACATTAAATAAGTTACATATGAGGTGTAAGAACCTGTCCAATACGCTCGGTAAAATGTCACAAGATCTCAACTGATCAGGCTGTTTGAAGCTGGGGGTGTGTGCATGCACGCACACGAGAAGAGGTCAAACTCTAAGACTGTGCTTTCGCCCATATATTTGATTTTGCTTTTGGAGGGGCTTTTTTGGCATTAGAAGTGAAATCAGACTAGGTATTCATTCGTCTGCACCATGGATATAACTGAGTTGAATACAGCAACGCAATTCAATCTCCAGTAAATTATAAGCGGATATCATTCCCACTGAGCTTGCATGGTCATGCTCATAAAGAACAAAACCACCGAAATCAATAGGGCTATCCCTGATGTAAAAGCTGTGTACATGGGAAGAGAAGCAAGTTTATTGATTATACACATGCTTCACTTCAGCCAAGTAATAATCAGCATGCAGAAGGTCTAAGGAAGCATCCTATCAGGCACTCTGAATTTCCGAGTGCAAATGCATGCTAGAAATTGTCAATTGATCTCAGCAAGGTCCTGTATCCTGCCAGTTCATGAGTCATACAGCCACTTGCGTTCAGCTACCTCAGGCAGCATCCACAAGTCAGAAAACTATATTAATTTCTATTATCTTTTATGTTTCTTGGATGGTGAGTTCTAAGAAAAATACCAGCAAGGGAATTTATTCAGTTTTCACACAGTGACACAGAAGCATACAAAACACCATCCAACTAAACATTAGTTGGGAAATTCTTGCATGTTCTTTTCTGTTCATCAGGAAGCAAAGAACTTTGATTAAACTGACCGGGCTACCAACTGACTACATGTCAATAGTGTCAGATACTCTGTCAAACTTGCTAAAGTAACCACCTGTATTTAAAAAGAGAATAAAAATCTGAACCACCATGCTTGCCACCTTTTCAGGCAGGAGAATTCAGTCATCCAATACATTTTCTCTTCTACACTTGCCTTTCTAACAACAACTGGTCATTTGCAAACATCACAGAGTGCAAACATTTTAGACATCACTACACACTTTTAAAAATGCAAAAGAGCACAAAAATTACGATATGCAAGACAGATTACCAACCTACTATTCAAAGAGCACGCACCAATTTAAACGTTACGTGAACTCATACTATTTGACCGCTTTTTTCTGCATTTACATAACTTAAGGACAGAACTGTTGATGACAGAACCTTACTGCCAGCAATATATTTTAGTAAAAAGAAAAAAATAAAATAAAATTACATGGGCAGGGCAGGTACCAAGTCAGGTTCACTCCAAGTCCCACAGATACTAAACCCCTTCAACAAGATTTTATTCCCTTTAAAGGACACTCCCACAAAAAAAAAAAAAAAGGAAAAAAGGAAAAAACCCTTCTCAAAAAAACACAATCTCACACAACACGGACTCTCTGCGCCTATTTAAAGATTCAGACCTAGGCGAGGGAAAAGCTGGACGGTTTGCGAGCGCCAAGCAGCAATTGCCCCTTTCCTGCCCGCGGCTCGCAGGGACGGAGGTCAGCCTCAGGGCCGCCCCTCCCGGCTGTCACCCCCGGCTCCCCTCGGGCTCCGCAGGGACGGTGGTTCGCGGCCGCCCCCTCCGAGCCGGCGGGAGGCGCGGGCAGCCCCGCGGGGGCGAGGAGCCGCTTCCCCTCGCCGGCACCGCCGGCTCCGGGCGGGAACGCCCCACCCACCGCAGCGGGCCGGGGCCGGGCGGCCCCCGGGCGAGCTGTGCACGGTATTTCGGGGTTCGCCGCCCCGCGCCGGGGGAGCCGCGGGGCCGGGGCGGGCGGGTCTGTGCCCGCACATCGCGGTCATGGCCCGGCGCACACGCTTCGCCTGGGGCCGCGGGCCGGCAGGGAGAGGAGCGGGCCGGCAGGGAGAGGAGCCGGGGAGGGGCGGCGGGTTGGGGAACGCGGGGGGAGAGAACGAGGACAGAGGGCGGCGGCGGCGGCCGGGGGAGGGGAGGGCGGACGAGGGGCTGGCGCGGAGCGGGCCCCGCGGGGAGCGGCGGCGGGGCGGGGACGGGGGGAGCGCGGGGAGGTTCGCCCCGCACCCCGCCTCCCCCTGCTGCAGAAACTACGCCATTGCGGCCTGGCCCGGGAGCCGGCGGCGCTGCCGCCCGCCCGCCCGCGCACCCCCCGCCGCCGCCATCTTGGCGGCCGCCGCCATGTTTGCCTCCTTCCCCCCGGCGCGGCCGGGCCGAGCGGCGGCGGCAGCGCAGACCCCGCCATCTTTTCGGGGAGCCGCCATACTTGCCCTGGCGATGAACATGGCGGCGCCCATCGCACACACCAAAACATGGCCTCCCTTCAAAACAAAACTGTCCCGGCCGCGCCGCGCGGCCGCCGGCGGGGCCCGCGGCCCGGGGAGGGAGGGGTCCCGGCGCGCACTTACCCGAGGCCCACATGGTGACCGAGAACTCCCCCTCCAGGGTCTTGATTTGCACCTGCTTCTGCTCCCATTTCCTGCCGCCGCCGCCCTCGGCCCCACCGCCGCCTCCCCCGCTCAGGTAACTCTTCTTGCTGCTCTTCTTGCCGCTGCCGCCCTTCTTAACGCGGCCTCCACCGCCGGCCGAGGAGGAGCCGCCGCCTCCGCTCTTGCTGCCGGCGGCTGCCACGGTGACCAGGGTCTGCTCGATGTACTCGTCCTCCCCGGCGGGGGCCGGCACCGGAATGAGGATCTGGTCCTCGAACCCGTCGTCGGCCCGCAGTCCGTCCGAGTCGTCTCCCCCCACCACCTCCTCGCGGGTCTGCACTAGGATCACCTCCTGGTGGTGGTGGTGCAGGTGGAGCTGCCCCCCGCCGCCGCCGGCCGCGCCGCCGCCCGCCCCGCTGGGGTCCCCGTCCGACACCAGCGGCTGCAGCGCTATCATGGGCTGGTGGTGGTGGTAATGATGGGGCGGGTGGTGCGGGCCACACTCCTCGCAGCATTCGTCCTCCTCCTCCTCCTCCTCGTCCTCCTCGCCGCCCACCACGGTGGTCTCGATGGTCTCCACCGGGATGGTCTCCACCTCGATTTCGTGCAGCTCCACGATCTCGGCCGGCATCTCCGAGCCGTCCGTGGCGATGTACAGGGTGTCTCCCGAGGCCATGGCGGGGCGAGGGGGCGCAGAGAGAGCTCCGCGGGCGGCGAGGGGGCTCCGGTCCGCTCCCCTCGGCGGATGGTGGGGCTCGGGCTCTTCTCGCCTGCCCTTTTTCTCCTCCTCCTCCCCCTTCCACACAAACACCAGCGACGAGGAGCACGGACAGGCAGAGGGAGGAGGGAGGCAGGCAGCGCCGCCAAATCCCGGCCGCGCTCCCTCGCGAGATCTCCGCCGCTGCCGCCGCGACGGGCCCCAGCCCCGGGAGGGCGCTGCGGCCAGGCCCCGCCCCCTCCCCGCCTGCGCAGCCAATCGCCGCGCCCGCCTCGCCCAATCCAGTGAAGTAGCCAATGGTAGCGCGCCGTGCCGCCGCGCCCCGCCTCCTTTGGCAGCCGCCGGCCAATCGCGGGGCGCTGCGAGCGCGGGGCGCGCCCCGGGACGCGGAGCAGCCAATGGGTTCGCGGCGGCACCGCCCCCTCCCCGCGCGGGAGCACCGCCCGCGGCCCGCGCGGGGCCCCGGGCTCCGCCCTGCGGCCGCCAGGGGGTGCCCCGGAGCGCGGCTGGTAACGGGCGGGGCCTGCGAGCGGATCCCGGTGACTGGTGTCCCGGTGCGTTCCTGCACGCTTGGGCTCGGGATGCGCCCGGACACGCCGGTGGCTGGCGGGCCGCCGGGTCCCGGTGCCGGCGGGAGCCCGGCTCCCACTCACGGCCGGCGGCGGTGATCAGCAGCCGAGTGCGTGAACTCGGTCACCCAGAACAGCGTTTAAAACAATCGATGCACTGCGATTCAGTCACTGCACAGAATTCCAGTACGTGAAGCGATCCCCTCGTTTAAAATATCAGGTGTAGGTATTTGCCTTAATTATTAACGCACCGCTCCATCCCCAAACTCCTCACCCCCTCGAACAGCACAACCGTACGTGCTTTGCAAATGCAGCAGCTCCCTGCTCCAGTCACGCTCCACTGACTTCCCCTCCTGCCAACTGCCGCAGGACATCCCTTCCTCACCCTGCCGAGGAACTTCCCTGCCTGCAGAGGTGCCAAGGGAAAAGTACCACTCGTTAGTATTTTGCATTCATTTGGTTATTGGCTTTGTAAGGGTCAAGCCTGTGTGTGTATGAATCAGGAGCAGTATTTGCAAAGAAACTGGTCTCTGTCTTGATATGAACAAGCAGATGTGAAAGTGTTATAAGTAGGAGGTGCAGAGCTACGGTAATTATAAAATGTTCTCTACAGGTACTGATGAAAAGTCCTTCAAAAGGACTGTATATTATCTTCAGTCAGAGGTTAATGTACTGATAGCTCTACAACTATGTACGTCTAAAAAAACCCCAAAACTGAAAAAGTCTTGAGTTATACAAAATAAATACTACTGAAGGTGAGGATTTTAAAATGTGTCTCATAGCCCTTCTGTACTCATGACAAGATGCTCTCCTGTTCCTCATTCCTTCTTTTTTTTTCTGCTGTTACATCAGCTTTCCTTCCTGTTTTAGGTTAACTACAAGTACAGATTTGCCTCATAAGTATTTCCAAGGCTGCTGCAAGTATACATTCCATTTTTACCTTCACTTCTCACTACACCACTGCTTTGTTTGCCCATATCCCAAATTGCTCATATCCCAAATTGCCATGATATCAAAGATTCCTGCTAAAAAATACTTTCTTCTTCTACCTCAGCATCAAGTGTTCTCAAAGTTAGTCTAACCCAAGTCTCAAGACACCAATAGCTTTGACCTAGTGATGAGATTAGGAAATACTTTCCTATTAAGTATTAGAAATAGCAACAAATTTACATAACTTGTGGACATCTCGGAGTTCCTTCTCTCCGGTCATACTTAGCACTCCCATTTTAAGAAAACTACAAGATGTAGTTTACATTGTAAAATTCGCATAAACTGAAAGGCAGTTTTTAGATCCTTTAGAGAGATTTCCAGAGCTTTACATGTAAATTCTGCCCCTCTGTTAGTAGTTGGAAGGACGTGTATAAGAGTGTGGGAAAAATAGTTCTGTAGCTTTTAAAAATAAGATTTCAAAATTAGAATGAAGTCTCCCTAGCCCCTCCATAAAAGTTAAATGTAAGAAAAAACACGGTGAGTCATTATGGAGTTCTTTTTTTCTTGCCTTTTTTTTTGGGGGGGGGGGTGGAAAAATGCACAACTCAGTTATACTTTGTATTGTAAGATTGCATAGAGAAAATATTAATGTCACCTACATGGTGCACTGAGTCCTGCTCTTGAATTCCCACCAGAACTGACATTGCCTTCAGAGCAAGTGAGATTAGGCCCTTGGGGTGAAGGGTGAAGGTTTTATTTTGGTGTTAGTGTATTTGTCAAATATAGGAACAAAGTCACAAGTCTCTTTCGTTTATCAAGATAAAATTTTTGGTCCAGGTCAATGATAATAGTTTAATAATCTTGCACAATCTCATTTCATTTTTGTGGTGTGGGTTTTTTTTTTTTCTTTTTTTAGGTTTTAGGGGTTTTTGTTTGGTTTTTTGGTTTTTTTTTTTTGTTTTGGTTTTGTTTTTTGGGGGTTTTTTGTCTGTTTTTTGGGGGGTGTTTTTTTTGTTGGTTTTTTTTTTTTTTTTGGTTGGTTGTTTTTTTTCAGCAAACAATTATACAATATTGGACAGAAAAGGCACTTTTAAGTTTTTAAGCATCAGAAGCACCTTTTTTTGAATGTTTTCTGCTTTTTCCCTATACTTTGGCTTAAAGCCAGTGTTTTAATGTTTTTCTGCCACATTCATATTTCATTATTTTTCTGTGAAAAATGTTACATGATACAAATATTCTTCATCAGCTCTGTGTTTTTTTCGTTATACGGTTCTCTTTATCCTGAATGAGGTGGTTTGCTTAACTAACGTTGTTTTTCATTAACTGCTTGACAAGAACAGCAATAAGGAAAAATAAAGATGTGAAAGCTGCCTGGTGAAAAGGTATTTAAAAGAAAACTTTGTCCCCTGTCCAAATAGCAGCAAAATTTTCCCCCTTGATAATGTCTTATCTTCCTGCCTGGTTTTGCTATGCACCCCATTTTGCTCCCCATGCTCAGAGCTCCATCTTGTTTTCTAGACACATTTAAAAAGTGCTGGTGGTGGTAATTTTAAAAATTTTAAACCTTCCATTGGAAATAAAAGATACTTTGAAGCATCCATAACAAGTAAGTTTTAAAGAATATATTTTACAAGCTCAACAAGCTCTAGATGCCTCAGATTTAGCTGTTTTGGGGTGTTTTCCTCTGGTTCTTTCCATAAAATCTACTGCAGGAATCTGTAGTCCATCATCAGTCTGCAGCAACCTGTTTTTAACTTTTCACACACACCCACCAGCATTGTTTTATCTCCACTCTACTTTCCTGCCACTGCAAAATTCCTGGTGGTAGTTTCAGGTCCTGAACACACTTAACTGAAAGAGTAAAACCTCCTGGGTTTTCTCTTGACAACTCCAGCTTCTACTGTCCTCAGAGCCTTCCTTTCTTTTGGGTTGAACTGGCTCATGCATCTGCCTTTCTTCAGCACCTCAGTGTGCAGGGAAAACCTCAGGATTCAAAGAGATGGCAACTTCAAAGCCAGCTCAAAAAGTATTGTAATTCTGTACAGAAGTCATTTGGACAAGTTATAAAGCTATGAGTTACTGACAGCTCACCCCTTTTCATTTTGGTACAGTCTTGTAAAAAAACCAGCACCATCCACATTTACCTGAGCCGTCAGTACCATGCACAGAAAAATGAAGAAGGAAGGAGATAAAGGAAAGGAAGGAAAAAGAAGACAAGATGCATGCTCTCTAAGACATTTCTTACTCCTCTGAACCTCCTTCAGCTTTTAATTTTTCTATATACTTAGCGCCAGGTACTACAGGAGATTGTATGTACTGGGTACTTGTTTCAGGGTGAAGAGTTACATCAGTGTAAGTAGTAGAAGGTTCTGCAGACAGGTTACTGCCACCACGACAGAGGTGACACACATGGATAGTTTGAAAAATCACATTTTGTTTCAATTGACCCCAAAGGATACTAAACTTGGGCCTTGAATGAGAGACATTGATCTTTTCAGTTTCACAGGATCACAGAAGAACTGAGGCTGCAAGGGATCTCTAGAGATGGTCTAGTCCAAACCCCTGCTGAGAAGTGGGGTCAAATAGAGCAGGTTGCTCAGGGTTGTGTTCAGTTGGGCTTTGAATATCTCCAAGGATGGTGACTGCACAGCTTCTCTGGGCAACCTATTCCCATATTTGACCAAAAGAACTTCTTTGCTTATATTTAAGTAAAAGTTTATGTATTGCAATTTGTGCCTGTAGCCTCAAGTCCTTTCACTGTGCACCACTAGAAGAGCATTGCTCCGTATTTTCTTTTTTTTTTCTTTTTTAAATTTTATTTGTAATTTTATTTTGCAATTCCTGGAATGTTCAGTGTCCTTATTAGACTTCAAGTATTTGTTAATGCAGTCTGAAATCAGCAGTGCTGCTTATAGCACAGGAAGACACATGATCCTTGAGGCATTGTAGCACCCTGGTTTTGGAGAACTCTTGCAACCCACCTCTCAGATATGCTCCATATAACATCAGCAGATAATGGTCAGTACTCAAGATCATTAGCCACTCAATCAATGTTGTGTTTTTTACTGTTGTGTGGGTTTTGTTTTCTTGTGATGAACTAGTAGTTGGCTGTTGGGTCGCGGTCTTTATATGATAAAGAAATGCAGTCCGCTCTTCGTGAGGTGGAAATCAAAGAGGTTTATTTCAAATTCGGCGCTTCCTTTTATCCCCTAAAACCATGTGACCTTCTAACCAATGGGGTTGTCTGTCCCTGCACATGTCCCCTGGTTCCCCTGCCCCTGGGACACGGCTCCTACAGTTGGCAGCTTCCAGGAACCGTAGTTGTCATTGCTGTACTAATCCAACTTCGTGTATAGTATTTAGTCAGTCATGGCTAGGCTTCGCGAACGAAGATCTGGGAAGGCTCTATCCACATTTGCTACAGGCACGCTGGTGGCTTATGAGGCCAATACGAGACAGACATATCCGATTGCAAAAGGCACAGCAGAAAGACTCCTTAGATGGTGTATTCTGCAATATATGGTTCTTTCTGCGTTGCCTTTTTTCCTCGAGGGTGATCCTGCGTGTGTTCTCGAAGGAGAACTGCGTTATAGATGGTGTGTCTCCAGGCCTCCCGATTTGAGGCCAGAGTAGACCAGTTATGGTGATCAATATGGCCGAGGCTGAGATGTTGTTTCAGGGAGTCCTTGTATCTTTTCTTCAGGGCTCCTCTCATGCGGCAGCCAGTGGCAAGTTCAC